TTCAACAACAAAATCAAATGGAAGTGAACACATTTTATAAAATTATTGCAGTCTAGACAACAACAATATCTGTCCCAGATATTCATTCTGTAGACATGGATTATGTCTGTGATTTATACGTCCTTCATTTCACAATCTCTCAATCATTGATGAATATGTGGTCCTGATAACACTCTATATGTTTGTATGTACATCTGTATTTATATACAGTGGAACCTCGATGTAGGAACCACTATATATATTAACTTTTTCGAGATATACATTATTATTCTTATCCCATTTTGACCTCGACATAGATCTAGATGTAAGATACAAACCATGATTCTCTGTGCCTGTGAGCTGTTACTACATCACATTTATCTGGAACAAGACGCAACAAGTGGTGTGTGTGTGATGCATGCCTTATGTGTGCTTTTGTGTGCATCTATTTCAGTGTTTTTGTAATCAAACAATACAATCAGTTTATATACTTGCAACTAAAATATTATTTAGATATCACATATCATATCAAACATGGGGCCAGGGAAAGAGAAGAAACATAAAATCAGCAGCAATTCAGAAAAAGATAAGTCTGGCAATATGAGAAAAATAAAGTCAAGCAAACTCACTTGAGCAAGCAGTATAACTTATCCAATGCCACACAGCTACAATTCTCAAGAAAGTAAATTTTTTTAATAAGGAACTGGAAATGGTCAAATGAGTATCTATCATGTCAACTCAAAAAATAAAAGTTATGGAATTTATGTCTGGATTAATGACATTCAACGGAAAGCAGATAGTTGGTCTCAAAATATTATTTGTTTACAAGCAAACAATATTATAAAGCTCTACAGCAGAATGTTCCATCCACTACCAGTAACAAAAACATTGGTCAAGATGTTAAAGCTAGCAAAGAGTGGTTTGATTAATTCAAGAACCAGTATCCATAGAGTTAGCAGGCATGGAGAAGGTGCTATAGCTGACCCAAAAAAAGCCACTGAAAAAAGACATAGTCATGAGAGTAACAGTCAAGAATGAGTTTTAAACTGCGATGAAACTGGACTTTTCTGGAAGGAAATGCATAAGGGACCATTCATTGAGTTTATAAGTTGAGGGTATCATTGTACATATGGTTGAGAGGGTGGTCTCTAAAATACTATCAAAATCTTTCTTTATTTTTCTGTCACCGCTGACCTGTCCATGTTCAATCATTTATTTAGGGAGAAAGACACATATTTTGACCATGTTCCTCCTGCATCTGGGTAAGCTTCAGTTATGAGTGTGGTCTGTGGTTTGCCTGGTATCTGTGTTTGACTCCCATGTCATTTGGGGTTTATGCCAGTGATGTTTTCACTGCTCTGACATGTTGATGCTTTGTTGCAAGTCCTGAAGACGACCAGCCATTATAAGAACTCATTATTGGTCTAATGTGTCCCACTTAGCATTCAACTGGCCATCTCTTGTGCTTATGTCTCCTTCTCCCCAGTTTGCTAGGTTTCCTCCTGTTTGGCCGTTACTGAGAACTACAGCATACAATGTGAACATATGATACTACTTTGGATATAATACATCTTCCAGCAGTTAACTTGCACAACATGGAAACATACATAATTTTTTTAAAGGTTACAGTCATTTCTAAACAACTGGTACAGTGCTACTGGTTTATTTTACCTGTGTGATAACTTGTACATATCTACAACTGTTACATATGAACCATTATGACACTAATTTATTCTGATATTACAGAAACATTAAAATTGTGTGGACTTTTTTTTCTCATGTTTTGGGCTGTACAATTATATGTTTATACATTTACACATAGATATATGTGTATGTATACACATGAACACATATTTATAGGTATGCATACTATGTGTGTGTATATTACTGCCTGGATTTACACAATGTACAGACAATCTGTTTATGTATTATTGCACTTGGATGTCATGAATGAGTGTGGCATTAACAACTTATCAGTGAGAGTTGGCACTGGCTGGCTGCAGGTCTTAAAAATACTTGCAACAGTTTCTGACGTTATGTAACATACTGACATCTAAACATGGCACTTGGTTAGTATGTGTGGTGTTGATGTGGTGTTTTATGTCTTGTGTTAACTGGTATAGTTTGTCGTAATCAGCGCGGATATCTTTATTACTGTTATGTATGGAGCTGACTGCTTCATATACTGTTATGTATGGTGCTGACTGCTTCATATACTGGTATGTATGGTGGTATGTATGGTGCTGACTGCTTCATTTACTGTTATGTATGGTGCTGACTGCTTCATATACTGGTATGTATGGTGCTAACTGCTTCATATACTGGTATGTATGGTGAATACTGCTTCATATACTGTTATGTATGGTGGTATGTATGGTGCTTACTGCTTCATATACTGTTATGTATGGTGGTATGTATGGTGCTTACTGCTTCATATACTGGTATGTATAGAGCTGACTGCTTCATATACTCTTATGTATGGTGCTGACTGCTTCATATACTGGTATGCATGGTGCTGACTGCTTCATATACTGTTATGTATGGTGGTATGTATGGTGGTGACTGCTTCATATACTGGTAATATGGTGCTGACTGCTTCATATACTGTTATGTATGGTGGTATGTATGGTGATGACTTCTTCATATACTGGTATGTATGGTGCTGACTGCTTCATATACTGGTATGTATAGAGCTGACTGCTTCATATACTGTTATGTATGGTGCTGCCTGCTTCATATACTGTTATGTATGGTGCTGATTGCTTCATATGCTGGTATGTATGGTGCTGACTGCTTCATATACTGGTATGTATGGTGGTATGTATGGAGCTGACTGCTTCATATACTGTTATGTATGGTGCTGACTGCTTCATATACTGGTATGTATGGTGCTGACTGCTTCATATACTGGTATGTATGGTGCTGACTGCTTCATATACTGTTATGTATGGTGGTATGTATGGTGCTGACTGCTTCATATACTGTTATGTATGGTGGTATGTATGGTGCTGACTGCTTCATATACTAGTATGTATAGTGCTGACTGCATCATATACTGGTACGTATGGTGGTGACTGTTTCATTTTTGGTATGTATGATGCTGCTTCATATACTGATATGTATGGTGCTGACTGCTTCATATACTAGTATGTATGGTGCTGACTGCTTTTTATACGTATGTATGGTGCTGATTGCTTCATATACTGGTATGTATGGTGCTGATTGCTTCATATACTGGTGGTATGTATGGTTATATATACATACACGTATATATGCGCACACACACATATATATATGTATGTATGTATGTATATATATATATATATATATATATATATATATATATATATATATATATATATATATATATATATATATATATATATATATATATATATATATATATATATATATATGACTGAAGGTATGTGTGGAGTATGTTGGGTGTTATGCTGAAGGTATGTGTGGAGTATGTTGGGTGTTATGACTGAAAGGTATGTGTGGAGTATGTTGGGTGTAATGACTAAAGGTATGTGTGGTGTATGTTGGGTGTTATGCTGAAGGTATGTGTGGAGTATGTTGGGTGTAGCGACTTAAAGTATGTGTGGAGTATGTTGGATGTAATGACTAAAAGTATGTGTGGAGTATGTTAGATGTAATGACTGAAAGTATGTGTGGAGTATGTTGGGTGTTATGACTGAAGGTATGTGTGGTGTATGTTGGATGTAATTTTTGAAGGTATTTGTGGAGTATGTTGAGAGTAATGATTGCAAGTATGTGTGGTGTAATGATTGAAAGTATGTGTGGAGTAATGATGAATGTAATGATTGAAGGTATATGTAATGATTGAAGGTATGTGTAAATGCTTGAGAGTATCAATGGCATCTGCTGATAAGCCAGGGTAAACTCAGACAGGAAACATATTACCATACAATAGCATAATGAGAGAAAACAAATGTCTGCCAATCAATAAAGTTACACTCCCGCCAGTCTACTAAAAAATGCATAATATACAAAAATAGCATTTGCTGGTGAACCATTGAGGTTACTGCAACAACACGAGAAATAATTGCACAGGTAATGACTGGCTCTCAGAAGTAGAGAAAACATACAGGAATCAAGGACACACTAGACATTTTAAAGACTGAAAGCTTCATTAGGGCCCAAACCATGTCATCTCCAAATGAGGGCAGCACATTGCTACAAAAACAAGTGCAGCAGTCTGATGCATGGCCGAGGAGACCAACCCCCCCCCCCCCCCCCATCCCCCCCATATGTTTTAATCAAGCCAGTTCTTCTGCTTTTTAACATTTAACGGTTATCCACTCCAGCGGAAAGCTTTGGTTGTTCGTCCACTTCTGGACTTCAGTCATGTTCCAGAACTTCCATTTTGCATACCCATCCGTTTTATAGATCTAGCTCAGTTGTATGCAGGTGTTGGTTCCTCGTCTTGGGCAGACACAGTCTAACTTTGAAAAAAAAAAAAACACCAATTGTCGACTTTTACAGCATGCTTGTTAGGGTTGCAGTGGGTCTATTTCGTAGCCTGTCAGAGGTGATACACAAAGCACGAACTCCATAGCTTCAGGGAAGATCCTCAAGAATCTTCATACTGCACTCATGAACTCAATGAGGTATCTGTGAATCGAACGCACAACCTTCAGCGTGTCAGGCAAGCAGCTTGACCACTATGCTGTGGAGACGCCCACACCTAGTTCTATCACACACATGAACCACAACTATGAAATATATACAGAACTGGAAGCCAGCTATGTTAACAGCAACTTTGGGTGTTTAACTGGGGAGTGTGTCAAAGTCTTTCTGTTCATCCAGCAAAAAGCTGTCATCTTTTGGAGACAACAGGTTTCAATCCTTTTGTGGTGACTATTGTTTTCAATCTGCATTCTTTGTCTTGTGCATCCACTGGCTGTGCACTTGTTTCCCCCACTTCTGAGAGTGTTGGTCAAAGCCTGTAAAGTATTTCTCCTACAGAAGTCATCAATCATTTAGCATTGACACACACTTGGGAAGTTTTTCTCACAGCAGACGGAGATGTCTCCCGAACTTGAGTGCGGACATTAGCAATGGCTCCCCCATGTTTAGGTGGGCTGCCGGATGGTGCTGAACTACTAACCACATTTATAGGAATCTGAACCGCACGTGGAGGGTGCTGTGATGGCGATTTGGCAGGAGCATGAGAATACTGACCCGAGAATATGTCTCTGCCAGCTGTCTGAACAACCACATTAGGTCCAACCACTGAAACCTTTGGAAGGGAAGGTCTGCCCCCGGTGGGGCCCGGGGCAACAAAGTTTGGTTTGTTAGGAGGTATGGGTGGTGGTACTCCTCGGCCAAGTGGCGAGACTGCTGGGGAGCCAAAGCCTGGTGATTTCCTCATTTGAGATGAGGGAGTGGCTTGAGGGCTGCTTCCAGCATGCAGTGTTTTGTTGCCAGCATGAACTGGTGCATTTAGTCCTGGGGAAACACTGACTCTAGCTGCTGGTCCCAAGTCCATCTCTGCATGATCTGTCACCAGTGCAGTTGGGGGGCCTATTTTCACCAACCCTGGAGATGAGCCTCTCCAGGCAATACTTCCTGCAGCAGAAGCATTTTCTGACCTATAAATAACCTCGCTCTCTGGTGAACTGGATCCAACCCGGCCACTGTCAATCACTCTGGGGCCTGGCTGTGCATACGTTCTGTTTGCACTTCCCAGAACCTGCGACAAACCTGTTGGCCTGACTCCACCAGCTGTGGTTATAGACATGGGGAGGTAAGGCTGAGGCGGACTGGTGCCAAAACTTGGGGTGATGGAGTATAACGTGGATGAGCCTGATGGCTGCGACGTAGCTCCACTTCGGACTGAGATGGATGGGCTGGCTGCTCTGGATGGAGACACAGAAGACCTCACCTGTATATTGCTTGGTGAGGATCCACTATTGCGGATCTGCTGCTGGTGCTGGTGTAGAGCTTCCACTTGTTTCAACAGCTGGGCCACCTCTCCTCTCAACATCACTGTCTGCTTCTCTTCTTCTTGAAGACGGATCCGCAAAGCCTCCCTCTCTGCATCAAACTTTGAGGTCTGCTTTTCTATAGCCGCTTCCATTTTCAGAGACTTTTTACTTTCCTCAGCTAAACCTTCAGCCATGTTTTGCATTTTGGATTTTCCATCTTTTAGGGCAGTTTCCATTTCATCACGCAGCTGATTCTCTGCGACAATAGTCTCAATCAAGTTCTTTCTCTCCTGCAAATAAAGAAACCTTGGCTTTTTTTAATGTCCAAAACTATACACTACATAAATTAAATGTTAACAGAGAAAGCAAAGGGGAAACAGGTAAATTAGTACTATAAGTGCTGCTATAGTAATGATAGTTGTGTGTATCGAGAGCCAAACTTTCAGAAAGCAATGGCAAACTACTAAACACAACATTACCCAGTGAAACCACAAACCGCCCAAACATGCTGGGGGTGGATCTGTAACGTTCTATAAAGGATATGCAAGTAACTTTAGAGGGATAACACACTACCAAACAGCTGAAACTTTGATAATGTATTTGATGGGCACAGTTAGTGACCCACTGTACCCATCCTGTGTAGTGGGTCACTTCACACTGATCTAATATGACAAAGATCAGAGTGCTGATGGAAAATGTCTACAGTAAACTAATGACAGAGGAGCAGTTAAGAACACGGAGCTCTCATTTGGGAGACCTATGTTTGAATCCTTGCTAAAGTGATGTCTTTTCTGTTAGGGGAGACAAATGAAATCCTAACCTGCACAATGTGGCGTGACCTGACTGTCCCTGCAGCCTTAAATCCTCAGACTCAAAATTTCCTTGTCCTACCCCACATTAAAAAACTAGAAGATGCAGGTGATAACTCAAGACAGTAATAATGATAATCTGACATTTACATACAATGCACACTGAAGACATTAGAGCAGTGGCTCTCAATCTTCCAAATGCCATGATCCTTTAATACAGTGATTCCCAAACTGTGCACCACAGCGCCCCGGGGAGCCGCAATCTCTTCACAGGCGCACCGCAAAAAATTTGAAGATACAATTACATAAGTTTTTTTTTATATCTTCTTACATACGAATAGCCATACTTTTACTTAGATTAGGGTGCCGTGGACAAATAGTTTTTGAAAAAGGTGCCGCAACTAAGAAAAGTTATGAAAACACTGCTTTGATACATATTCCTCATGTTGTAGTGACCCGCAAACAATTATTTTCCTTCATAAATTCAATGAATATGTATTCTCCAATGGCCTTAGGCGACCCCTGTGAAAGGGTGGCGACCCGCAGGTTAAGAACTGCTGGGTCAGAGGAAGAGAATCAAACAATGAAGACAAACAAATAGACAAGAGGGTTTGTACAATACCTTGATCAGCATAATTGCTACTTGTTTATGCCTTGCAGCATTCGCTCTCTCCTCTTCTAAGCTTGCTAAAGTTTTCTTCAGATCTTTTTCCAGCTTCTTGTTCTGGTTCTTTTCAAAATCAATCTACAATGAACATAAGCTTATAAATAATTTACAAACAAATGTAATACATGTTGCAAGGAAGTTCCCTGTGTTGGTTCCAGGGCCCCATTGTGGGAGGCAAACAGAACAGACACAGTACCACCCTCCCCCCCCCACCCACCCAAACAAGCATCTCATAAAAGTCGACTAAGTAGTTGTGCTTCCTACGAAATCAAAGTACATCTGTCTGAGAGGCAAATAGCCAACAGTCTGCTTACAAATAAGCCAGATCAGTAAAACAGAGGTGTATACAAAACTCAAGTTCTGGAACAGGGCCCAAGTGCAGAAGTGTTTAAACAACCAGAATCTTCCCCTAGAGTCTACAGTCACTGAATGCGAAGAAGAAATACAGGAAGTATTCAACACCCAACGTAATTAAAATAACAAGACCAAGTATCTAGTTCCCAACAACCATTTATAGAACTAATTAACAAATTACAATGTAAAATCTGCAGTATCTAAACTTGCAACTTCTTCCTTAAAATAAAATATACCTAATGCAAGAGACCCATTCCTTTAGCAGGAGTAGTATGCAGTGTTATTAATCAACTGTGCAAACCCCTACAAGTGGCAACCAAAGGCTAGGGAAGGTAGACTTAACAAAGGAGATGGACATAGCAAGGTGCTAACAGCCATACAAACTTGATGAAACCTTGCAGACAGAGAGAGAGAGAGAGAGAGAGACAGGACAACCAAAGGCTGGGTGGGGGAGGGGAGGGGGAGGCAGACTTAAAAAAGGAGACTGGTGTAGCAAGCTGCTAACAGCCTGACTGCTTAGCCAGATGGCACTGTGTTAGCTGAGCTAGTATTACTGTCCACATATAACGGCATAAGCAAGACAGAAATGTCCTTGGTCCTCTCTTTCTCCAGAAATAAACCAGCACACTAGGCCTTGATGATGCTATTACTTGCAAGTCCCATTGCATCATTGGTCCACACACATGTTGGTAGTGTGACCTTAAAGGTATAAAGACTAGATGCAAACATGCACAACAACATCAATATCCTTTTCCAGAAGAACAGAAAACCACATGCACTGGATCACACGTTTAATACAGCAGTACAAAGTACTCCATTGAGGCTGACAGACGCCAATGAGACACATTACAAGTCATTTACCAAGGCTGACACACATCAACAAGACAGACATCACTACACAAGTCATTTACTAAGGCTGACACACATCACTACACAAGTCATTTACCGATGCTGAGACCTATCAACAAGACAGACATCACCGCACAAGTCATTTATTGAGGCTGACAACAAGTAAGACAACACAACACAAGTCATTTAATGAAGCTGACACACATCAACAAGACAGACATCACAACACTAGTAATTTACTGAGCCTAACACACGTCAACAAGACAGAAACCACTACACAAGTCATTTACCGAGGCTGACACACATCAACAAGACAGACATCACAACACAAGTCATTTACCGAGGCTGACACACATCAACAAGACAGACATCACAAGTCATTTCCCGAGACTGACACACATCAACAAGACAGACATCACAACACAAGTCATTTACCAAGGCTGTCACACATCAACAAGACAGACATCACTACACAAGTTATTTACCGAGGCTGACACACATCAACAAGACAGACATCACAACACAAGTCATTTACCGAGGCTGACACACATCAACAAGATAGACATCACTATACAAGTTATTTACCGAGGCTGACACACATCAACAAGACAGACATCACTACACAAGTCATTTACCGAGGCTGACACACATCAACAAGATAGACATCACTATACAAGTTATTTACCGAGGTTGACACACATCAACAAGACACACATCAACAAGACACACATCAACAAGACACACATCATAACACAAGTCAATTACCGAGGCTGACACACATCAACAAGAGAGACATTAAAAGCCATTTACCGAGACTGACACACATCAACAAGACAGACATCACAAGTCATTTCCCGAGACTGACACACATCAACAAGACAGACATCACAACACAAGTCATTTACCAAGGCTGACAGACATCAACAAGACAGACATCACAAGTCATTTCCCGAGACTGACACACATCAACAAGACAGACATCACAACACAAGTCATTTACCAAGGCTGTCACACATCAACAAGACAGACATCACTACACAAGTTATTTACCGAGGCTGACACACATCAACAAGACAGACATCACAACACAAGTCATTTACTGAGGCTGACACACATCAACAAGACAGACATCACTACACAAGTCATTTACTGAGGCTGACACACATCAACAAGACAGACATCACTATACAAGTTATTTACTGAGGCTAACACACATCAACAAGACAGACATCACTACACAAGTTATTTACCGAGGTTGACACACATCAACAAGACACACATCATAACACAAGTCAATTACCGAGGCTGACACACATCAACAAGAGAGACATTAAAAGCCATTTACCGAGACTAACACACATCAACAAGACAGACATCACTACACAAGTCATTTACCGAGGCCGACACACATCAACAAGACAGACATCATTAGACAAGTCATTTACTGAGGCTGACACACATCAACAATACAGACATCACTACACAAGTCATTTACTGAAGCTGACACACATCAACAACAAGCCAGATATGAATCACAAGTTACCTCTGTTTTCAATCGTTCCCTCTCTTTCTCCAACATGTAAGTGACATCATCTCCTTGAGCCGTGTCTTGAGCATGTTTCTGCTTCTCCTCCTCCAGCTCTGTACATACCTAACAGTTACATTCAGAGGTTTACTATCAAAATATCACTTTCTTGTTAGCCTTCACTGGCTGCAAACTCCATAGGAGAAGTTCTGTTTGTTTGTCCACTTCTGGACTTCAGTCTTGTTCCAGAACTCAAGATTAGCATACACACCTGTTTTACTATAAGTAGACTGTTGGTTCCGTGACTCTCAGGCAGATACACTCTGACTTTGAAGGGAATGCCCATATCTGGTCACCTTTTTTCTGCATGCCTGTTGGTTATCCTTTTCTCTACGATTTCGAAGGAGATTAATCTACATACTTAATAGCATTTATCAGTTCTTCTGCCTATTACTTTTCCTGCCTATATTAAAGACTGTCGCGAATCTTCTCTCGCTGTATTCATATATTCTTCTTACCCTAAATTTTTCCAACTGCCATATCTTGAATACTGAATTAAGAATTGATATCACAGCACTTGGGACACTCCCATAAGCGTTCCGTCCCTATCTTCAGCAGCAAGCGAAAAGTTCCAATTCTCGCCTTTCCCATGTGTTCAGCATCAGCCAGATCCCCTGGTAACTCCCGGCAGAGGCATTCTTCTCAGACCATAATGATCTTCCTGTGCTTCCTCATTGCTCACTAGCTCATATATTCATGCCATATCATTCGGCTGTTTTCTTTTGATGGCCAAAAAAATGACAGCTACCTCGCTGTCTCTTTGCAGACTGCTCAGTCTGGCCATCCAAAGAATGTTAGTATTTTTCTGTAGAACCCCATCCCTGAGGCTTTCTGAGATTTTTGGCTTATTCATTTATTGTTCATACGATTTACAGTCTCAGGACAAAACTAAGCAATGTTCAAGATTAATTTTTCTTGCCTTCTATGGCAGGGATTTCTTGCATGAGATGATGTTTACTTTATAAACCAGTTTAAGCAATGCAGACAATACATGACTAAACACTAGGGACATTTATGACTAAATATCGCAAACTATTAGAAAATCAAATTGAGTCTCTGGAGATGTGAGTATACAGAAGAATAGGTCATATTTCATAAGAACAAAAAACATAAATTGTTCAACACAGAGGTTCTGAACAGGCTACAAATGAAAAGAGAATTACTGAAATAAATTAAAAAGGGACAACTTAAATACTTTGGCCACATGACAAGACATAAAACACTTTTAAAAACCTACCTGGAGGGAAAGGTTAAAGGCAAAGGAGCAAGAGAAAGGCAACAATACAAGTGGGAGGACAACATCAAGAGATGGACAGGCAGCAGTCTGAGAGAGTGTACAACCAGGACAAGAGACAGAGCATGTTGGAGATCCACTGCAGCCGACCTTCACTGCAGAGGTGGCACCTGATTGAATGACTGATTGTAGACTAATAATGACTAAACAACAGAGACTAAGTTGAGAACTGGAATCACAGCACTTGGAGCATTCCCATAAGTGCTCCATTTCCATCTTCAGCAGCTAGAATGGAGTTCCAATTTGAATAGTACCAGTAGTGGTCTGACAGTATGTCTGCAGTGCCCTTCTACCTTGAGTGTGGTGTGGGGTGTCAGCTAGATCCACTGTCACTCCCCGCTCCACCATTCTCTTCGGAGTGTGTTGACCTATTTGTGCCTCTGCACTATTCACTCACATCTTAGGAATTTGATAACATCTCATTTGTCATGCATCAGAAGCAGCCAATCTGTTTGCCTGTTCATTTCTCAACAGACTTGCATCAGAAAATATCCAAAGGATGCTAACCACCCAGGATCTCTGAGTGCCTCCACTTTTCTTAACATGCTTTCGTGAGTCTTGTTACAATCATGACATTAAAGACTAAAATGTCTCAACAATGTAGAACAGAACAAAACCATCAAAACTACCTTGTGGAATCTCTTTTCCGAGTTGCCCAGTTGTTCCCTCATTTTCAGCTGTGCTTTTCTCTGAGTGGCTATCAGGTTCTCCAACTGCGCCAGCTGGTTATCGTACATGGACTTAATGGCTGCTTCATCAAAGCTGGCATCATTCTTACCCTCGGCATCCCGCTGCAGCGCAATGAATGGATCTCCTAGACCAAACCTTCCATACTTTGCCTGATACAGTAACTGTTTTGCCTTTTCAGCCTGAAATGATGTAAAAATGTTGCATCAACATTAACTCTGTGTGGGTTCTGTTCCAGGGTAATACTTCTGGGGGAGAACAAAGTAGACCCACTGCCCTCTAATAAGCTGGTCGTAACAGGTGACTAATTGGGAGTTTACCATTTTGGGCAGAAAGGTGCAGATATCACACACAGCCTAGCTGTAAACCACAACACAACACGTCAAATGCCACTTTAATAAATAGCGAATGCTGAAAAGAAAATGTTGAAGAAGAAGAAGAAGAAGCTGAAGAAAAAGAAGAAGAAGGGGAAGGGAAGAAGAGGAAGGGAAAAAAAGGAAAAAAAGAAGAAGAAGAAGAGGAAGAGGAGGAGGAGGAGGAGAAGAAGAAGAAGAAGAAGAAGAAGAAAAAGAAGAAGAAGAAAAAAAAGAAGAAGAAGAAGAAAAAATGAACAGGCAGACGGATTGGCTGGTTCTGATGCATGACAAATGAGATGTTATCAAATTCCTAAGATGTGAGTGAATAGTGCAGAGGCACAAATAGATCAACACAGTCCTAAGAGAATGGTGGAGCGGGGAGTGACAGTAGATCTAGCTGATACCCAACACCAAAGGTGGAAGGCACTGCAGACATACAGTCAGACCAAGAAGAAGCATAAGAAGGAGAAGGAAGAGGAGGAAGAGGAGAAGGAAGAAGAAGAAGTATCAACATTATTACGTCAAGTGATTTGCCATTAAAAAAATAAGGACAAGGTGTAATCTTAAGTGCATTTGAACAAGGAGCCTAGGTTCAAACCTCAGCAGCCCATAGGTTTTGTGACCACATCTAGTAAGACTGTGAACCCATACTAGCATAAAGACCATCTTGTTTGCCTTCAGAGCCGGTAGTCAGCTATTTAAATTCCGACTGAGGTAGGGATTTTGAGAAAGGTCTCAAATGGGTAGCAGGAAATATCAGGGGAAGTAAAGGCGATTCAGGTGACACTGACCAAATCACTTATTGAGCACCGACTGGTCTATTAAAAACAGGATATTCAAACTTATCAGGTCTACACAAATATGGGACTATAATCACAAAGCAACACAGGTACACTTATTCGCACCAGGAGAAATGGCCTAACTTTCACATGCAGTGCCTAATTAGAATACTTGGCATCTGGTGGTACTACACGATTACAGACACTGGGGTATGGGTATAGGGAAGAGCAAGTATCACTAATAAGTTTGTGAATGCTCAGTCTTTTTAAAGGCTCAGATAGGTAGGAAACAATCAAGAGGATGGAGGATGGTAGTCCCTAAGGACATCTTCCATGGCGAAATACAGAGAGGCAGAGGATATTGGGTCGGCGTCTACAATAAACTATAAAGACATGAGCAAGAAGGACTTGCAGAATATAGGTACTGGGGTGGATTCACAGCAAGAGAATGCCCCGGATCGCAATGAATGTGTAAGAAAACTAGGAAGGGAACAGGGATAAAGGAGAAAAGGATCGCAGAAAAGTGAACAGCTGTCTGAGAAAAATCATGTAAAATACATACGATAACAAAAAATGGTCTTGCAATTTATTTTGGAAGATTCTTCTTAACGTGAGCAGGTTTCACCGGTCAAACACACAGACACACACACAATAACACCAAGGGTTGTGATTTCCATGCCTTCGAACAGCTCACGGAACACTGTCATCTAGAAAGATGGAAAAGTTGGCCCTAACTAAAGATTAAAGTCGAGAGGATCGACTTCACTGCACCGGATTTTATCCCATATGGCTCTGTCTCCCTCCGCAGAACGGCTAGCCACCTACCAAGAGCATCACACAAAGCACAAATTCTGCAGCTCTGGTGATGATCCCCAGGAATCTCTGTAAAATGTGGGCTCGTGACCTGAATGATGCAGCCGTGAAACGAACCCACTAGTTTCAGAACGTGAGGCAAGCGGCTTGATCACTTCGCCAGAGAGACCCCCAGTCAACTAACTAACCATATACCAAATAACCCTGACGTTTGATATAAAAGAAACACAAAATAAGCAGAACACACACCCAGACAGTAACAATGAAAATACGTTCAGTTCTCCTTAAAACTACGGCCACTTATTATGGAGTACGCCGGAGTTCAGTCCCCTGGCCGCATTGCAATTACGGAGTGGACAAGAGGGAACGACACAAATGACGTACTTACTGTGTGTTGGCGATAGATGCACTGCTGTCATAATAGGGTTAGGGTTAGGGTATTGGTACTCCTTAACTCTTTACGGACGTTTAGCCAGTATACTGGCGATAAAGTCTATCCCTTAAAGACGTAAAGCCAGTTTACTGGCTCATGGTAGAGACACTCTAATTTTGTTCCGTTTGTATAGAAAACGAACTTTAATGAACTAGTTTTTTAACAATTAAGATTAATAACAGGATATTCTTTCATTTGTAACGTTCATCGTGGTCTGGGCATTATTTTGTGATTTAAAAAAAATTATTTAGATGGGATACAATTTTTACGTGATTTTTCTATACTAAATGATAAAGGAAAAGGTCTATACTGCTCTATCGTTGATGAATCCCAACAGTCTTGATATTATGATTGATATCTAAGGGACAAATCTACTAGCGATAATTTAGTTTAGGATATGAAAATTTCACAAAATATTTCAATTAGATCAATGTTTCGATCAGCTGTTTTTCCGATTTTCGGTTGTTGTGAAAATTGACATGTCATACAAAAATGATTATAATATCCAAAGCATTTAAATTAATTGTTTCAAATAAAGACTAGCTGATACATAATTGAACAGAGAAGGCACGTGTGTTCTTAGAATTGGATAGCAGTGTTGTTGAACCAGTAAAAAATAAGGCAAGCACACAATTTTTTATGACAAAAAATGTTCATATGTGTCTAACATCCTTGAATGTTGCGGGATTTAATAAAATTTTGATGTTATACTAACATTTAAGTAGTTTAGATTTATTGTGCACTCATTTATCTTTAATTTGATATATTATAAGTCCCGATACAGCCTATACTTTTACTTCAGGAAGGATTTAGCCTTGTCGTGTTGTACTAAAAAAATTCCGCTCAAAATTAATGCTGTCCAAACCCCAGAAAAAATGCCGTCCTAAAAGAGTTAAAACTACGGCCACTCATAACCCTACCCCTAACCCTATTATGACAGCAGTGCATCTATCGCAAACACACAGTAATTACGTCATTCCGGTTAAAATGGACGCTAGACAGCGGCGCTGTGTCGGAGCGGAGGCAAATTTTTTGCTTCTGCCGGACGGTGGCCGAAGTATTTTTGCTCCATTTGTAGACTGGATATAGTTTCGTCGCCCAGCTTCTGAGTTGAATGCATGGCGTGACCCTGTGAGCTGCGGATTGCATTTGGAATGTTTTTTCGACTGTGACCAACGTGGTGTGAATTGTAGATTCAGAAAATGGCGCGATGCTGGTCGTCAATGTTGGCGGTGCCCGTGTGTGATTACAATTGATCGCGTGGGAAACTGCTGATCTGTTGGCGACAAGTTCTGCTATCATCAATGATGAACTGCATTTCTAATGTTGGACTGTTTGTGTTAGCACTTCGGATGGCTACCATATGCTTTAATGCGAGTGTATGCTAGATATGCTGAGACAGCAGTCTGTCAATCTTTCCACAAGGGACTGTGATAAACATTCTGGGTGTTTTTCGCTGGCACAGGAGCAGAGCAAAGATGGGGCGACCCGTTTGCTATGAAGCTGAAACTAAGACTACCAGACCAGACTACCAGACTACCAATTACGTCATTTGTGTCGTTCCCTCGTGTCCACTCCGTAATTACAATTGCAGGGGACTGAACTCCGGCGTACTTCATAATAAGTGGTCGTAGTTTTAAGAGAACCAATACATTCATTCAAGGCAACACAAACAGCGTCAGAAAGACAACTTTCTCACAAAGAGAAGACTAATGAGTAACTTTGAGTTTCCATTGTAGAAAGAAGTTAACAGTGCAGGACCAACTGACGACACTCACCTTCAATGTTGCAATAATGATATCCTTCGCCTGAAGCTCCCCCTCAAAATAGCTCAGCAGTCTTAGGAGATCAGCTTTGCTCCAGTCAGGACATGGTTGCCGCTATCAATGGAAAATTATTTTAAACCTTTGAGGTCTGATTTTTTATTAAATTTATAGAATGCACATCAAAAATAAAATTGTTAAAGATCTTTATCATCTTGTTTTTCATTATGTATTTCTAAGACTAATATCACTGCTCCTCCACTGCTTTATCACCGCGATTGGGCATCACAGGGTAAACAAGATAAGAGTTTACGTTCCAACATACCTGCAGCTCCTCTGCGGAAAGAATATATAGAAGGGCTTCACTGGGTGAGTGTGTCTGGCCAAAGGTGTGGTGAGGGATTATAATCTTAGATTATCCTACAACAATATTGTGCTATGAGGAAATCTGGCTGTTATGTTAAAATGGCTTTTTTGCTATATAGCCCACAACCAGGTTGGTAATTCTAAAACTGGACTCCAAACAAGTTGCCAATGCCTGCTCTAAATGTAGACAGTCTTTGATAATTTGTTACAAGTGATGTCTCCTGATTCAAGAGTTCACAATTTACTAATGCTACTGTTTCATCCAGAAAATAAACAATCATCATGAACATGTGTCCTACCACTAAACGCAAGCTGTCACATTTCCCTATCTTACATGGTAAAAGAGAATCATGGATCAGGTCAGTGTTCTTATTCTGTTAATCACAATTTCAACTTCACGGCAAACAGCTCACCCCATAGTTGCTCCGCTCCTGTGCCAACAAGAACCACACAGAATGCCCATCATTGTCCACACAGACTGCAGTCTCAGCAAATCCAATATAGCACACTCAATAAATGCATAAGACAGCCATCAGAAGTGCTAACACAAACAGTCTGATACCAGGCATGCAGTTTATCACCAATGAAGGTGCGATTACAACAGATCAGTGGTTGCAGATTTGATCAATCACACAAGGCACCATCAATTAGTTCTGTGGCAACAGGCCACTAACCATTTTCTGAATCTACAGTTCACAACACAAACCACACTGGTCAGTCGAAAAATGTTCAAAATTAAATCAGCCTCTCACAGTGTCACGCCATGAACTTAATTTAGGAGCTGGGCAACAAAACTGTACACTTTCAGTCTATATATAGAGGCAAATGAAACAGTCAACTATTGTCAGAAGCAAAAACTTGTCACAACTAAAAACAAGAAACTTACTTATCATCCATACTGACCAGAACTCTGAAAACATATTTATTCCCTACCAGGGCTGCCATTCGTAACTCAATCAAACATTAGCTAAGGACATCTGTTAACGGAAAGAGTTAACAGATGATAGGTAGCTGAGCAAGGATGCACTCAGTTGCCTGAGATGCCATGATGCTATGAAGTCCTGGAATGACATCTTCAATCCAACTTCTCCTAGGTCTTCCCTGGTCTCTCAGTGTTTCTATTTTTATGCTTCCCACTCTCATCAGATTTATTCTCACTCTGTTATATTTATACAGTTTTCACAAAATAAGTACTTCACCCTAAGGTAGTCAACTGGACACCCTGACTTTTCAGATAATGGTGAAAAACTCATAGAAATGCACAAACATGTTTTCTATAGAATGAGGTTGCCAGTCTCACACTAACCTTCCTCAGCTGACTCATATGAAGCGTAACCATGCTGTGCTTCCTTTATGAGCACTAGTTACCTGGCACAAGGGAAAGCAAATAAGGGAAAGACAAGTCAAATATGCTATGTACTGTCACTGCGACAGAAAAATGACCTCGTTCGTGCTGCTAACTTTAAAATTAAAATGTAGGGATTCCCTTATCTTGGTCAAACTAGATAACAAAGAAAGAACTAAGAAAGACACACAATCTTTATCAATGGCAAATATCACAAAAAGAAGAAGACAGAAATGGCTTGGACATATCTGCAGAATGCCTCATGACACTGGCAAGGACAGCTTTCAGATGGATGGCAGGTGGGGAAAAAAAAGGATACCTGAAAAATAACAGTTTAAAAAGTTAAATGAGTGAGCAAGGAATATAAAATGACTAGGGATATTGTAGTCAGAAAAGCAGCAGATCGGTAGTAACAGAGGTCACTGATGAATGCTTCATTTGACAATAACGTTACGAAGAGGATATAGAGAGACACACAGGGACCTCCTCATCCAATAAAATAGGCTTTCCTTCTTCTTAGCATTATTCCTAATTCTAATTGCTCATCTCCTTCTGGATTTTTGTCTTATTCCATAAATTTAATTTGGAGTGTACATTCATTTTACAAATCTGGCTTATTTGTATGCAGACTGTAAGACCCTCACCTCTCAGGCTAATAGCTTCTAAATGACTCAAGCTTACCTTTAAGGTGCTGGACTTTGTCTTCTCACTTCCTTTTGTAGTCTCAAAGCCCTGTACAGATCCAGACTGTACATTTCTATAAGCTGCCATACTGTTTACTCGCCACAGTACTCTGTTGAAAATAAACAAGTTATGACAATAATTTAATTGCATCTAAAAAAAACACACACACACACACACATCACCTAACATGCCAGTAAAACAGAACTGATATTGTTACTCCACTTTTCATGCTGCTAGACGTTCACATGAGGATCAGAACGGCGTGGGTTCGCTCCCTGGCAGAGCCGTACTTTTTTCAAAAATGACCTCAACTCCCAGGTGGACCCAGCCTTGAGTGATTATCAGGTGCAGTCCCGGCAAGGAAAAGGCAGCTGGTGTGATGCTGACCACATCACCCATCTTGTGCTTTTTGGTCTATAAAAATATAGGTCTAGCCCTATACGCCGAAAGGCGTGGAACATGGTCCTTTACTTACTTTTGTTGCTGGTTATAATGTGTGAAGTATGATTAAGGGGTAAAATCAGTGATAAGACGAAGAAGAAGGTGCTATATTTACATTTTCTGAGAATAAACCAGCAGAAAATCACTAAAAAGGCATTGCAATGGGAAATAACAGGACTGAGGAAGCCAGGACATCCAAAAGAAACCCTACAACAAACAGTGATGACAAAGGGCAAAAGTGCTAGACTGCATTCCATCCAGGATAGTAAAGTGATTGCACAGAATTGGGGAAATTGACTGCAAGACCTATGAGACACCACAGGACAATGATGTTGATTAAAAATAAAATAATGAAGATCATTACCAAGTGCCTTGGAACCAAAATAATTATCAAGTGGGCTAAACAGACCTTTCTAAACCATCTTTTTTTCTTCAGAATTCTGAGCTGCAGACTTTATCCACTTCCATTCATCTCTATAATTCTTTCTCCACCATCTTCTTGGCCTACCTATTCTCTACTCCTATTCAATTCTTATGTGTATGTAGTTTTTGTCTCTCTGATATCTACCCTTTCCCTATATGCCCCCAACCACTGCCATTTATTAGCATTCACGATGCCAGTAATTAGTAATGATGTAAACAGATTTTGAATTCTGTTATTGCTTCTCTGTATGCATTTCTGATAGGTCCAAAGATGTGTGGTTAATCGATGAATAAATGAATGAGTTTTGGACATCTCAGCACTTGGCACATTCCAACACGTGCTCTGGCTCCTTCTTCAGTAGCCAATGAACAGTCTATATGCTATCAGTACCAACTGTTTTCTGATTAAAAGTTCAAAAGTTCACCTATGTTTTCCCCTCACTGTTGAATATCTTTTAGACCCTCTCTGGTCACCCCCCCCCCCCCCCCCCCCCCCCAACTGAATCAGTTTGTCAATGTATAGCTTTGTTCTAATTCACTGTCCCTTTGATCTCATAAAGCCTTCACCATGTCTGCTTTGTCATAAAGTATCTCACCATACAGAGGAGCCGCAGCAGACTATCCATCTGCCTGCTCATTACCCCTCACACCTAAATATCCTGGATAGAAAATCTCAGATGTGCTCCTGATCTGTCTTATCAAGTGATGCAAGCCACTCTGTGTGGTGGATCCCCGTTTCTATTATCTGAAGCATGCTCTGTGAGTATGTTACAATTACCACATGTTGGGCTGTGCTGCTCTCCAGCCATCCAAAAGCTGCTGTTACTGCCTCCACTTCCATTCTCATACTGGGTGTTGTGACGTTATATGTGAGGCTCCTTGTTTTCAGACATTGTTCATTCACCTTTGCAATAAAACCCCAATAACTTTCTATCTCGCATACAGATCCATCTGTGTATATAACAATGTCTCCTAGACTGGAATTTTCTATGATTAGCTCATGCATTGCTGACTCCAACTATCCATTACCGGCTCCCTCTGCCCAAGGTAACTATCACATTGTGCAAGTCTGTTTTGCGGGGTGGCACTGAAATCCATTCATTACCATGCACTTTCTTGTCAGTAGCATAGTTTTGACCAAGACTTCTGCCTGTGCAGAGATACCTCTTTTCAGCTAATGGCCCTTGCTATCCCCCAAGGCCTCATGCAGAAGGTGTTCCATGTCTGTCAAGACTTTAAGGTACATTTTCACCTGTAACACCTTGTATCTTTCATATATGGACGGCAATGCAGGCTTGACAAATTTGAGTGAGGAGAGGAGTGGGTCAAAATGTCAGAGCAAGTTTCAGACTTGTATAGGCTTCTTATCACTTTAGGTCCTGAGTGCAGGGACTGGCCAGCTGGTGCTGCAGAATCAGAGATTCAACAAATGATTCATAACAATTCCTGTCTAAGTGTTGTGATTATCTATACAGATGGCTCTGTGTAGAGGGCCAGATGAAGTGCATGGGGCTTCATAGCAAAAGCAACAAAGTCTGCCATATGATACCACGTCTAGTTTGAGAATGGAGGTGGAGGCAATCACTGCTGTATTCAGATGGCTTGAAAATCAACTGTAAACACATGCCGTGACTGTAACTGACTCACAGAGCATAATGAGAAAGGTGGAGACAAGCATGCTCCTTGCAGAGTGGCAAGCATCACTTCAGAGGTCCTAAGAAGTTGGCATCCTTTGGATTTTTGTCCATGTCAAGCCAGTGTGTTAGCAGGCAGACAGACTGGCAGGTTCTGCACCACTTGGTGGTGAAATGATGTATGACAAGCCAGATGTTGTGAGGGCCCTTTTGGTGTGAGTGAACAGTGCGGAGGCAGAAATAAGACTTATTATGGTCTCAGGAGAACGGCACTGTAGGGAGTTCCCAGAGGATGTGGTTGACACTCAACATTCAAGGGAAGGGGAAAATACAATCAGACATTACTGGTACCACTGGAACTGGAACTCTTCGCTTGTTGCTGAAGATGGGGACCGAGGACTTATGGGGGTGTCCCAAGTGCTGTGATATCGATTCTTAATTCAACATTCATCCAGCAGGTGGGCAGACAGACAGCTTACTGTATATTCTTTGCATTTTCCTGATCAAACAATCTGTCAACAACGATGATGAAATGGAATCTCTTTATTTACAAATTCCCACATAAAAAGCAAAATGGGCTCTACCGTTCTTAGACCTAGTGTTCTAAAATAAATAGCTTTCATCTAGTTATAAAACCAACATGACTAGGTTTAGTATTTTTATAAAAATTTAGTTTGAATGAATCATTCTTGTTCAAGGTATAAGAATCTGCCCCAAATCGGCAAAATGACCTAATAAATTAATAACTGTCCGGTCATAAAGGACTGAAGTAAGGGGGAAAACATTTTTAATAAATATTATCTTTTTAAATTTTAAGAACAAAGATCTCTGCTACTAACAAAAAAGACTTAAACTCATTATTACCAGAAAAATACAGTTCCCACAGCTGGTAGTATTAATAATTCACCTTCACATGATAAAGGGCCGGCTAGAAACGTCGAATGCTGCGATACAAAGCCGAATCACCGAGTGTGGAACTGGACGGGATGGAATCCGCTGCAAGGCTGTCTCCTCCTCTCCAGCAGACGGCGTCAGAAAGAATCCAGCTTCCACAACTGATTCCCCAAAACCTTTTGTACCCACGTCATTTCCAGATAAACCGAACGAACTTTCTTATAATCTAGTATCTAACGATCACAACAAGGAATAATTTCGGATAGTGGGATGCATTAAAAGCGAAACAAAAGAAACTAGCCAAGACCAGCCTTTGAAAGAACGGCCATGGCGTTTATTGATAGGTCACGTGATACAGAGCCAGGCAAAGATAATGTCGTAGCTGTCAGCTGGAACTGTCTGTCGAAGCAAGTCTGTTCTCTCCGGTATTTTCTCACGTTTTACTACATGTCACAAATAGAAATATCCATAAATCAAAACTGAGACATGTTAATTGTGTGTTGGTGGTTATCTTTTGTATATTAATGTGGGGACGGCAGGAATAAATAGGGGTCATAGTGCATGAGTGATTTGTTGTCTGCTAACAGCTGGCTAGAATGTAGCTGCAAAGGCAGCATTGATTTTACCTAATGAAGAATATTTTATTTAGTCTTTCTTTGCCAGTTAAGACGAGAATGAGTATTCTTAAAAGCTATATAAATCATATACTGATATACAGGTGTGAATTATGGGCAGTTAGTAAATAAATTAGTGAAAACTTATTTGGAAGCTGCGGAGATATGGTTTTAATAAAGATGAACGATGAAAACACCTTGGACAGATAAAAAGAGTAACGAAGATGTCTTGAAAGAAACTGACTCAGGGAGAGAACAGATTGCTCACATCAGAAGGAGACAATCTATATTTTTGGTTATGTGATGAAAAAGAGAAAAAAAAAAAAATGGAGTGCATTGTGACTGTAGGAATGTTGGAGGGGAGGAGAGGGATGCTGGACTGTTTGACATCATGGCATGAAAGTCACCTGGGTCAGAGTAGATTGAAAGTACATGAGATAGACATGACCACCAGCGCCACATATCATGGACTTTAAACTGACACAATATTGTGTGCACTCTCTCTGTGTCTTACTTTCTGTCCCTCTCTCACACACACATTCACATACACACACAGAGAAAGAGAGTTTTAAATAATTTATTTTTGTGTTTTCCCTACCTATACTTTAGGAATTACATTTCTGAGTGGGTTCTGGGGCTTATTTTAGGGTAAAAAAATATACCCACTCTCTCCTATCAAACGTTTCATTTAAAAAAAAACAACGAATTAGGTATTTGCTTGGGCCCAAAGGGACACACATCATAGCCCAGCTGTAAACCAAAAAACAGTAAATTTACCACCCTTTTTAAGGCAGTTGCAAAAGAAGAAGAGGGCAATTGCATATTGTATAGGCTATTCACATTGGGATTTAATTTATGAGTACATTTACAACTTTTCAATATGTACAAAACTTTTTTTAAATGCTAGGGCACATCAGACATATGATGCTAGACACATTTTTATAGATCAACTGGCACTCTATGTTACCATCATGCTGGTCACCTTTACTTCCTCAGATATTTTCTGGTACCAGTGTTAGGCTATGCCAACCAGGGAGTCAGTATTAGTTTTGAAAAAATAAATTCCTCAATGTGGATTCAATACCATTACTTTTAGGGCGACAGCGAAGTATCTAACTATTATGCTAAAGCGGTTCCATTTTCAATAAGTGACCCAGGTTATTTATTGAATTTGTGAACATTGAACTGTTACATTTACAGTTGATAATTTCACAGTGTTTGAAATGTTTCCTCCATCATCATATTGCCAACAGCTTTTTGAAAAACCACATTTTTTTCACCACCTATTTTAGACATCAGTATTTGGCTATCGTCGGCTCTGTGGCTAAGTCTATGCGAACGCTTTGTAATGCCAGGGTGCTGGGTTCGATCCCAGCTGCGGGCCATGCGCCTTGCGTTGGTTTTGACAGTGGTATCAGGGGGCCGACCATCCAGAAAGCAATGGCAAACTACTGGACATAAATTTGCATAGAGAAACCACACAACAGCCAGGTGCTGATGGGGTTGGTTCTGCAATGTCCTGTAAAGGCTACGCAACTAACTCTATTTGGCTATCATCTTACATACACCAGACAACATAATGCTAGTTTGGAAGCTATTGCACTCTAAAGCAGGGATTTTTGCTTTTGACAGTACACAGCACTGGCACCTTTTAAAGCATCATTTTTTTTCAGGGAAAATAATTTTTCAGGGCTGCTGTAATAGACACTTTGTGGTGAGTACAGGTGCCTTTTTATTTACACACTTTGGGTGGTGGCTAATGGCACATTTTTTAATTTAAAAAAACAGCACTGCTCCTTTTTTTTTTTTTTTTTTTTTAAATTTTTTATAGAAACAAAAGGGCTGGTGCTCACCGCATAGTGTTTTTCAAAAAAGGTGCTGGTACTCACTGCAAAGTGTTTATTACAGCAGCACCAGAACAAGTTATGCCTAAAAATATGCCAGTTGTACTGCCAGAAACAAACATCCCAAGGGGAAGTTCATCTGGGTAAAAATTCAAGATCACAACATTCAGGACAAGCCCATATTAGCTCTGTCTTCCTCCTCAACAGACAGCGAAGAGTTTACATACTGATGGCACCTGTTGTCATCTGGTTAACTGCTCATTTGAAGTGGTGGCCAGAGCCCACTGCCATTCCTCCCTGTATCATTTTCTCCAGGTGTGGATTTCACCGGTTACCTAGTCCCACAGGTTAGAGATCACCTCTGCCTTGTGCAGTTGTAGTACATCCCAAATGGGGCCATTCCAGCCAGCCTATCTGCCTGCTTATTCCCAAACACACCTGAATGCCCAGGCAAAATATCAATGTGAATCTCACCACCTGCCACCTCTGGATTCATGTAATCCATTCCATACGAAGAAAACCTGACTCCCTCTTCCTGAGCATGCTTTACGAATCTGACACTAATGACAACATATGTGGCTGAGATTTTTTTCCACCCATTGGATCGCTGCAGTTATAGTATAATTTTTTTTTTAAAGACACAAATTTTATAGATGGATAGGATGAAGCCTATATAAGTATATGATGAAGATTTCTTCTACTTCTTCTTCTTCACATTAACTGGCTGTAAACTGGCAGAAAGTTAGGGTTGTTCATCCACTTCTGGACTTTTAGTCTTGTCCAGAACCTTAGTGTTGCATGCACAGCCATTTTACAAATTTAATTTATTTGTATGCAGTTGGTTGTTCCTTTTCTCTCAGGCATATGCACTCCAGCTTTGAAAGAAGCCCACATTTAGTCGACCTATGACATGTTTATAGGGGGAGGCAGTGGGTCTATTCTTGTTTTCCCAACAATATTGCTCTAGAACCCACACAAGACAGGGAATCTTGGATTCATTACAGTGGCCTTCAGTGAGATGGCACTTAATGGAATAATGGCAGATTGTGATCATTATTATGATTAAATTTCAGGTAGCATGGCAATGATAGTCATGTTTCCACGATTTGGTAAACAGATAGGCGCACCATTTCTTCAGTGGCCTCTAGTCACCACAGTCAGCCATAGACATGCGGCTGTTGCTGGATCACTAGACAGAGCATCTGATTCTTCACAGGAGGAATACGAAAATGCTCTTCCATTTTCTTCCTTGCCTGGGCCACGTGGTGTTCCCTGGTTCGGAAATTGGTTCGCTTATAAAAGAGGTTAGTGTGTTAATGTGATTGTATATCTTTCAGAATGTCTGATCTTTTAATGCAGTAACTACCTTACATTAGAAATAAATGACAGAATTACTGTTAGCATTTGTCAGCTCTGGATTTATCTAACATTCCAGCTGTAGTTGTACTAGGTTTAAATATATTCTTATCAATCAGTCAGTTGCACATCACGGTAAAAAAAAGTAATCTCATAAACGCTCCATTCCTGAGCTAGCAAAAATCACACAAAATACCTAATGTGAAAAGTAAAACACACAGCAACATGGCAAAAACCAGCCACTTTCACGTATTAAATGCATAAAGCAGCTGCCAGAGGTGCCAACACCAACAGTCTGCCACAAGAAATATATGCTTATAAAAATAATTTAAAAGATAAATGACTAGTCTTCTTCTTCTTCTTCTTCTTCGATCCTTCTGTCAGAAAACTTATATCAGGAGGTCGGTAGCCTTTATGAAAGCTATCGTGCAATCCATATCCTCTCGTGTACCATACAGTTTTGTCTTCATTGTGGTTGGAACAGGCCAGATTGCATCTCTGTTGTCAGCATACAGGTGACAGTGTTGGAGCACATGCTTAGCATTTTTGGGTGCCACGCTGCAGGGACACGTCACTGTATATCCTACACCGAAAAATTGGACCATATGTTGACGAAATCTGTTGTGTCCAGTCCTTAGTCTGAATATAATACACTGTCCCTCTCTAGAGAGGCGATGAAGTGAGTCTTAGGGAGAAAATCTGGTGTGGGTATCCAGCCAACTTTCTTGGATACTAGATTGTATTAATGTTTTCGTCTCTTGGTGGATTAAGTCGCTATTTGGTTGTCCGAAAGATGGATCAACTGCATCAAGAACAGCCTACAAAAAATTAACACTAACTTGTACAACTTATTGGAAAGAGCTCATGTAAGATCATTACATCTCCTCCAACATTTCAGTGAAATAACTGGAGGAAGTGAAGAAGAAAAAGGTCACCACAAGGGAAGATTAAACTCACAAGGAAAATACGTCACTAATTTTAGAAGTAGTTAGTCATCTTTGTTTCTGTCATGTTGAATGTTGAATTAAGAATCAACATCATAGCACTCGGGACACTCCCATAAGCGCTTCGTCCCTATCTTCAGCAGCAAACGAAGAGTTCCCGTTCCGATGGCATCAGAAGTTGTCTGATTGTATATCTGTCTCGCCTTTCCCTTGAGTGTTGAGCATAGACAGATCCCCTGGCAACTCCTCGCAGCGCCATTCTCCTCAGACTGTAATGCTCTGTTTGAGCTTCCTCACTGTTCACTTGCTCCCAGAAGGCCCTCACAGCATCTAGCTTGTCATACATCAGTTCATCACTAAGTGGTGCAAAACCAGCCAGTCTATCTGCCTGCTCATTTCCCAATTGACCTGTTTCTGTCATGAAAAGGGCAAATATATTGGGACAATGGTTAAACTAGATCCCCCTGTGGGTTCCGGGGCCCCATTGTGGGAGGAAAAAAGAATAGACCCACTGTCCCCTAACACACATGTTGTAAGGGTTGACTAATTAGGGATGTTTTCTTTGAAGTCAGAGTGCATCTGCCTGAGAGGCAAGGAATGAACAGTGTGCATACACATACGCCCAATTTGTAAAATGGATATTTACGCTAAACTCAGGTTCTGTAACAAGACCAAAGTCCAGAAGTTTACACATAGTAAACGTAAAGTAGAAGAAAGAAGAAGTAAAACTAGAAAGGATTGTTATAAAGAGCATGCTAAACATATTGACATTTTGGAATGGAGAAATGTTATGCATTAAACAAAAAAATGTCAGCACACAAGACAGGACATACAAACATTTAACAGTGTCATACAACATGGCCGGTGAATGTGAAGTTGAAGAAATAGCTACAGGTAGAGGCAGTTCATAGTGACAGCTTTTCTTTGCAATCATTTTAAATTCTCTTGTAAGCAAACTACCTACAAGGGAGTTAATGTAACAATTTTGAGCTTATGCATCTTTCCCATGGCAAAATATGGATGTGAGTCATGGACTGTCACACAGTCATTGAGAATAAAATCTTATATTTGCTCAAACATCACAGGGGGAAAAGAGGGGGGGGGGGGGGGGGGGGGGGGGGTTGTTTACACTGCGAAGTGGTCAGTCCATTTGCCAAGCGTTCTGCAGGTCATAAGTTTGTTTCATAGACACATTGTTCACTTCAAAATTTCAGTTTTTACTGAAATCCCTGGGAATTTTTGCTGAAGCTACGCAGTTCATGCTTTGTGTGACCCTCTCAGCAGAGAGACTGAGTTGTATGTGATCATCCATGCAGCGAAGTCAATCCTCGTGACTTGAACTTTATTTGCTGACAGCCATGCTCATGCATTCTGTAACATTTGCCCCATCTGACAAAAAGGCTTCATAATGGTCAACTTGTGTCCTGTTTTCCTAGATATGTCCAAAGTCTATAGAAGAGACCTAGTGTTGAAGGAGTTCTACACAAAGTATGGCTACATTGTGAAGGAGACTGTTGCAGGAAGAGATATAGTCCATTTGTTCCATCCAGACTTTTTAAAACAGGTATGAGATTCTTCTTGTCTGTTTGTCTCTCTGTCTGAATGTCTATACAGAATAGTTTCTTCTTTTTTCTTCAGCTTTCCGAACTCTTGATGTTTGTTGGTACAGATATCACCTACCTCCAGTCATCCCTGTGATTGTCTGGAGTTTCCATTCGGTGACTCGACTCTCAGCCATCTTTTTTGGCTTGCCTCACGATCTACTCCTCATATCTTTTTTTGTACACACATTATTTCTCTGTTAAGTGCTGTTTTAACCATCTACCACAACCATTTCAGTCTAATAACTCTCGAGACGCCAGTAATAGTGTTTATTTAAATAGATGAGGAATTTCATTGTTGCTTCTCACTCTCCATTCTCAACTGTGTGCATCTTTCAAAACAAAATAGTGCATGGTTTTATCTATCTTTGACACAAGAGACTTGACCAATAAAGGTGAAAGTAATCCATAGCGTTGAGAGTGGGAAGTGTTGAGCTTTCATATATTCTAAGCTGGTTGTCCAGTTCCCTTGCTCAGCACATTTTATTCCTGATACATTGCCTGGTACAGCTTTTTATAAGACAATGTTAACCCCAAAAACTGCACTTCTCAAAGGAGGATAATTCTATGTCTTTTAAGGGCAGAAAAAAATAAAAATCCAAATGAGAACTAGTCACTTTCATCATACTACAATCAGAAATAATAAAATGAACATTCGGGCCGGAAAACCTTCATTAGAATATGACACCCAAAAAAAAAAAATACAACAGATCGTGTATCTGTACTTCCCACGTGGGTTACAGAGCTCCATTTTGGAGAACTAAGAATAGACCCACTGACCCCCTAACTCGACTAATTAGGGGTGTTTCTTTTAATGTTAAAAAAATGTCCAAAAATGAACAAACAATCAGAACTTTCTACCAGAGTTTACAGTCGGTGAATGCAAAGAAGAAGAGAATAAGAATAAAAATACTCATCTATACAATAAGGTCGATCATAAAATCGCCGTAACACGCTTGAACATTAGCAGTAGAGGCCACTGAACTAAACCACTAACGTGGAAAGCAAGAACACGCTCTAACCACTAGGCTTTATCAGCTTCAACAAACACATAACATCAAATAAATATTCATCTGTGTAGCTGTCTATCTTCACAGTTGTTATTGCCTGTCTATCTTCACAGTTGTTATTGCCTGTCTATCTTCACATTTGTTATTGCCTGTCTATCTTCACAGTTGTTATTGCCTGTCTATCTTCACAGTTGTTATTGCCTGTCTATCTTCACAGTTGTCATTGTCTGTCTCTTTTCACAGTTGTCATTGTCTGTCTATCTTCACAGTTGTCATTGTCTGTCTATCTTCACATTTGTCATTGTCTGTCTATCTTCACAGTTGTTATTGCCTGTCTATCTTCACAGTTATTAATGTCTGTCTATCTTCACAGTTTTTGTCTGTCTATTTTCACAGTTGTTATTGTCTGTCTATCTTCACAGTTGTTATTGTCTCTCTATCTTCACAGTTGTCATTGTCTATCTTCACTGTTGTCATTGTCTATCTTCACAGTTGTTATTGTCTGTCTATCTTTACAGTTATTAATGTCTGTCTATCTTCACAGTTATTATTGTCTGTTTATCTTCACAGTTGTCATTGTCTGTCTATCTTCACAGTTGTTATTGTCTGTCTTCACAGTTGTTATTGTCTGTCTATCTTCACAGTTGTTATTGTCTGTCTATCTTCACAGTTGTTATTGTCTGTCTGTCTTCACAGTTGTTATTGTCTGTCTATCTTCACAGTTGTTATTGTCTGTCTGTCTTCACAGTTGTTATTGTCTGTCTATCTTCACAGTTGTTATTGTCTGTCTATCTTCACAGTTGTTATTGTCTGTCTATCTTCACAGTTGTTATTGTCTGTCTATCTTCACAGTTGTTATTGTCTGTCTCTTGCAGATTTATGAAACTGAAGGCAAATTCCCATTGGTGCCGCCCTTGCTGGAAGCAGTCAAAACATATAGACAGAGGAAAGATCTAGCACCTGGCCTGGGTAACAGGTAACTCAATCACTAATACAGGTGGTTTAACTCATTGTGACGTGGTTTCTAATCCACTGTCCTAATGCAACATACACTGATTGTATTTGTCTGGTGTATGGTGCCACTTGATGATGATGGTGCCACACGAACATCCTCCAAGCCACACTCATGCGTTCAATGAATATCTGTTTTAATATAGAATTATATAAACAAAGAAATCTCTTGAGGTTTTACTATCTTCCACCCCCGTGTGGGTTCCGGGGCCCTACTATGGGAAAAACAAGAATAGACCCACTGTCTACCCAAAAGCATGTCGTAAGAGTCGACTAATTGGGAGCTTCCTTCGAAGTCGGAGTGCATCTGCCTGAGAGGCAAGGAACCAACAGTCTGCATACAGATCTGTCAAACGGATGCATACGCAACACTCAGGTTCTGGAACAGGACTGCAGTCCAGAAATGGACGAACAACCAGAACTTCCGCGGGAGTTCACAGCCGGTGAACGCGAAGAAGAAGAAGAAGAAGACTTATCTTCCAGATGATAGTACGAGGGGAAGTGAGTCATAATTGATTATGGGATTGCAGGAAAATGTCGTTGATGGTTTTTAAAGGTGTCATTAAGTGACGGAAGCATCAAACTTTTTGTCTTCATCATTAGGTGGTGCTAAGTGTTGCATGCGCATTCGCAACACAGAAACGAAATGGCAACTGTACTGATGGAGTGTACCCTCAAAGAACAACATGCTATTGTGCATTTTTCGGGCTGCCTGCAAAGTGCATTCATAAGAAAATGCTTCCTGTTTATGCTGACAAATGTTCATCCCATAAAGAAGTGCATAGCTGGATTTAAAAAATTTCTCAAGGAAGTTCTAAAATTGTTTGTAAAGTCCAATCTGGTTGTCCTGTTGTGATTGCAACAGACGCATTCATGCAGCAGGTAGAGGAGATGGTTAGAGGTGACAGGCAAGTAACAGTTGACATTGTAGCAACTATAATAGAGTGCTCACATGGTTCAGCAAACACTGAAAACCAACCTTGGCGGGAGACATTTAAAAAATGTCGCAAAAGTTTAATGGGAAGTGAAAATGTGGTTTAGAAAACAGAGCACGCAGTTCTATGCAGCAGGTTTGTAAGGACTGATAAAACAATGGGACAAGTGCATCAATGTTGGTGGAAATTATGTTGAAAAATAAAGGGACAGTGCAGTGTAAAAATAAAAAGTTTTTAAGTTATCGTTAATTTCTTTTATTTTTTTTTTAACAAACATTAGTGACTTATTTATTGACTTCCCCTTGTATTATATTATGCTTTAGAATCACAACCCATGCTGATGATGAATGTGATTAGCACAGAATAATGGAGAGAATGCTTGCAGATAGTTCAAGAGCCAAGCATCTGGGAAGTAACATGTCAAATATCTGTGATGGCAAATGTGACTAGCACATAATAACGGAGAAAATGATTATCAAGAGCCAAGCATCTGGAAAGTCATCATCATCATAAGTTTCAACTTCTGCCGTTAAGCGTTTTGGGGAGGAACAGTTTGTGACCTATTTTTGATGGGCAGCAATGGCTACTGTCATTCTGTGTCGATGTAGAAGCTCTTTAATGTCCTCAGTCCATCTTCTCCTAGGACAGCCTCTTGCTTTCACTTCAGATCCTTTTATGTTAAGCGCCTGCATTGGTAGTTGTTCTGACTGCATTCTTACTAAATGACCAAACCATTTGATCTTCTGTTTCCCAATGAATTTGCTGCATGGTGTTGTCCTACAGTCTGTCTGATAATATCATTTCTATCTTTGTCTCGGATGGTTAAGTTGGTGGCTTTTCTTAGGTATCTCATTTCACAGGTGGTAATTTTATGTCTGGAAATATGGAAAGTAACATGTCAAATATCTGGCAAGTGTGACTAGCAAGAAATAAAGGAGAGAATGATTGCAGATAGGTCAAGAGCCAAGCATCTGGAAACTAACATGTCAAATGTCTGTCGTGGCACGTGTCTACCATCTGAAAAGTAACATGTCAAATATCAGTATTCTGTTCTGTGTTCACATGGGCAACATTGTGAATCCTCAATCTTGGATTTCCTGTACATATGGCTGCAAAGTCTTCTGTGTCCAGTGTTTCTTTCATGTGGACTGGATGATTATGTCTTTAAGATTGTATCTTGGAGGGAAAGTGTTCCAATGGGTTCTAATAGCTGCCTTGATCTGAGTTTTAGATTCCTCATAACTGCATCCTGTATGTGGCTGTTGTCTATGACCTCCAGTTTATGCTAAGTAGTCTGCTCTTTGTCGGCTCTGTGGCTAAGTCGATGCGAACGCTCCATAATGCTGGGGTGCCAGGTTCAATCTCAGCTTCGGGCCATGCACCTTGCATTGGTTTCGACAGTAGTATCAAGAAGCCGACCATCCGGAAAGCAATGGCAAACTACTGGATATAAATTTGTCTAGAGAAACCACACAACAGCCAGGGGCTGCAGGGGTTGGTTCTGCAACGTCCTGTAAAGGATACGCAAGTAACCTTAGTCTGCTCTTTCATTTCCCTCAATGTTTCAGTAGCCAGAGATCTACTACAGCATGTTAACTGACCCAAGACCTTTCTTATTATGTGATTTTACTGAAAAATTGGGACAATTCTTTGGAAATCCAGAATGAGTCATCTGAACTTTTTGACAGAGGATAAGACAAAGACAACTCATCTCAGAATGTTTCTGATCACATCCTCCATTGAGTGTCAGTTAGTTTAAACATTATGTAATCGGCACCAGTTACCCAAAATGCTTTATGTCATGAAAGTTAAGTTAGTTGCGTATCCTTTACAGGACATTGCAGAACCAACTCTAGCATTTTTTTTTTTGGGTGTTGGGGTTTTTCTAGGCAAAATTTATCTTCAGTAGTTTGCCATTGCTTTCTGGATGATCAGCTTCTCGGTACCACTGTCAAAACCAGCATGAGGCCCACAGCTGGGATTGAACCCGGCAACCCAGCATTATGAAGTTTGCTTGCAACGCCTAAGCCACAGACGCCAACTATGTCATGAAAAGGGATCCATTATTTGTATTTGTACAGTGTTTCTCTACTTGGTCTCTACTTCAGTATAATGATTTGTGCAAGCAGGATATGAAAGATACACATATTGAGGTGGATTTGTGGGAACAAAATGACATAGACTGTGTTGTCTGGAGGGGCAAATCATAAAGGGAATGAGAATGAAGAAAGAAATGATTGCTGAAGGGATGAGAGCTAAGCATCAGAGAAGACACACAATAAATATATATGATGGCAACAATCATCCTGAAAGCCCATGCTCGAACTGTGGAAAACTTTTCTTAACTCGGACGGGTCTTTCTAGTCACACTGGGCATCATCATGGGCTGTAAGACCCATGCATCCTCATAGTACAAGATAACATTGTCACCTGGAAAGTTTTGAAAGTGCCAACAAGACAGTATTTATACATAGAAAATTATTACATATACAGAGAAGACCATGCAGCCAAGGTAGACTTCTGGGTGCTGTCAACCCATTCTAGTCACAGTTTGCCAGTATGTACGTACTGATAGAATGGAACCCAGGCTTGATCTTTTGTAAGGGATGGAGATTTTTTTCTTTTGAGGCAGAAATACAAATTTCACCCAGCACAGTTTGTTGTGATGACACTAGCTATCTGGCCTTAAATCCTCAGGTACAGACGCTTCGGCCCTACACTGCACTTCTTATTTTCTGCTTCTTCTGCTTTTTTCTTCTACTTCTTCTTTTTCTTTTCTAGTTCTATTCTGCCTTTCAGCATCAGGTTGTAAAGAAACATCAGGTGCGAGACTTGTTATATGCTATGTAGATGCTGGTATTCACTTACTCAGATATTTTATATAGCCATCGATTGCATGGTCAACCTCTCGCTTTGCTTCTGTTTTGTTTAAGTAATGGGGCTCTCAGTAAGTGCAGTTGGTACAGACATTTTACTTGTTATTTATAGAAGAGAAGTCCTGATGTCAGACAGGCAAAGCTGGAGGCTTTTTTGTATATTGTGAACAGAAAAAAAGAAAAAGTTATGGTTGCTTGTTTCTGTTTTCTGTGGATAAGTTTATATTTGATAACTTTCAGCAATGGGGAAGAGTGGTATCGACTACGTAAAGTAGTCCAACACATCATGTTGAGACCCTACAAGGCCCTTGACTATCTGCGTCTTCAGAACAAAGTGGCTACAGACTTTGTGGACAAATTTGAGAGCTTGATGTCAGAGAATCGAGAGATACCAGACTTTAACAGATGGATGGCACGCTGGGGTATAGAGTGTGAGTAACAAGTGTTTTGGTTTTATTCTTGACTTATGTGCCATTCAATCAGTCAGGTGCCGTCTCCGCAATAAAGGTTGGCTGCAGTGGATCTCCAACACTCCATGTCACTTGTCTCGGTTGTACACTCTCACAGACTTATATTTGTCCATCTCTTGATGTTATTCTTCCACTTGAATCATTGTCTGCCTCCTGCTGTCTTGCCTTCTACCTTTCTCACCAGCTTTTTAAAAGATTGAAATGTCTTTTAATGTGGATAACATATTTTGATCGTCTCCTTTCTATTTATTTCAGTAACTATTTTTTCATTCGCATCTCTCCAGAACATCTTATTTGATTGTTTTGAATTATAGCTATTCTGTACTGTAAAAACTTTTCAGACATAGTAGGCAGTTGCCCTAGTTTTATTTAGGAACTGAGCCCCTACAATGGGGCCTCAGAACCACATGAAGCCCAGTCAGACAAACAGAACAGAATATATTTGCAGACTGACAGAAAGATGCAGAGAGAGAGAGAGAGAGACGCTAGACAGAGAAAGACTGATACAAACTGACTGTGCTCAATGTGTCGGTTAGCACTGACAAGATGACAAGCATGTTGTCCCGCTGGGAGACATCTTTACTTCTAAACAGGTACAACAAGAACATGAACTGATCCTCAGCCAAGCTGTTCTCTTCCACAGACAAAGACAGCCAAGCATTGAATGCGCAGGAACTGTGTTCATGTCTGGTTTACTTTTTAGGAGAATGGCCAGACACTTACCTGCTGGTCTGAAAGTCTTAGGAGTGAATCTGCATAGGGACTTTGTTTGTGTGTGCTGGGCGAGTTCTTCTGGGTTGAGGAATAATGTCAGTGAAATATGTGGGTTGTATAACACACTCAGCTAGGCAACTGGACAGATTTTTTTGGGGTTAGGTAACAAGAGAGTAGATTGAAAACACCAGCCCGGGAAGGCTAACTCGGGCAATGAATGCCTGCTGAAGTCGGATGTTCCATTGAAATGTGCAGATATCACATCCATTTTGCAAACGGGCACAACAAATTTACATCTTCGGATGAATGCAAAAGAAGAAGAAGAAAACCCAATTGATTAGACAGTAAGACAATATGAAGGTAATATTTTGGGCATGATAAGTAATTGAATGGGTAATACTTTGGGCTAGACAGCAAGTCAATAACTGGGTAATACTTAGGGCTAAGTAACAAAGGCATCAGATAAAAACATATTAGAATAAAAAACACACTGGAATAGATAACCGGACCTTAAATAGGTAACACCTTGGAAAAGACATCAAAACAATCACAGATGGCAATAGGATAGAAAACAATAAAAATATAGAAACACTTTAATATGAACATAAAAACAATAGTTAACTAACAGTGTGCAATATGTGAAACACATTTTATTCAAATTGAACTGATAGCCTTTACTGCAATATATGAAAAACATTTTATCCAAATCAAACTGATGGCCTTTACTGCAATATGTGAAACACATTTTATCCAAATCGAACTGATTGCCTTTACTGCAATATGTGAAACTCATTTTATCCAAATCGAACTGATAGCCTTTTCTGCAATATGTGAAAAACATTTTATCCAAATCGAACTGATAGCCTTTACTGCAATATGTGAAACACATTTTATCCAACTCGAACTGATAGCCTTTTCTGCAATATGTGAAACACATTTTATTCAACTTGAATTGATAGCCTTTACTGCAATATGTGAAACACATTTTATTCACAACTCTTTGGTGACCATGTCTCGTATATACATCATCAGCTGCTGCACACAACTGCTTTGAAATGAGGATGGGTTATCTGGAGGACAAAGGAGCTGATGTTGCTAACAGAATCATTGATGCCAACAGCTCTGTTTTTGACATCTCTGTCAAGCTGTTCTTTTCACTTCCCATCTACAAGTATCTTCCCACTCCCAGCATTAGGAAGCTGTTTGATTGTGAGGACTTCATTAATGGGTGATTGTTTACTAGCCTTCTGTCTTATCCATTTAGTTTGTTAATGTGTGAGTTTTGCCAGCGGCGTCTCTTGTCCATTTAGTTTGTTAATGTGTGAGTATTGCCAGCAGTGTCTCTTGTCCATTTAGTTTGTTAATGTGTGAGTATTGCCAGCGGTCTCTCTTGTCCATTTAGTTTGTTAATGTGTGAGTATTGCCAGCAGTATCTCTTGTCCATTTAGTTTGTTAATGTGTGAGTTTTGCCAGTGGTCTCTCTTGTCCATTTAGTTTGTTAATGTGTGAGTATTGCCAGCGGTCTCTCTTGTCCGTTTAGTTTGTTAATGTGTGAGTTTTGCCAGCGGTCTTTCTTGTCCATTTAGTTTGTTAATGTGTGAGTTTTGCCAGTGGTCTCTCTTGTCCATTTAGTTTGTTAATGTGTGAGTTTTGCCAGTGGTCTCTCTTGTCCGTTTAGTTTGTTAATGTGTTTTTTTTGCTAGGGGTCTCTCTTGTCCATTTAGTTTGTTAATGTGTGAGTTTTGCCAGTGGTCTCTCTTGTCCATTTAGTTTGTAAATGTGTGAGTTTTTCCAGTGGTCTCTCTTGTCCGTTTAGTTTGTTAATGTGTTTTTTTTTTTGCTAGTGGTCTCTCTTGTCCATTTAGTTTGTTAATGTGAGTTTTGCCAGCGGTCTCTCTTGTCCATTTAGTTTGTTAATGTGTGAGTATTGCCAGCGGTCTTTCTTGTCTATTTATTTTGTTAATGTGTGAGTTTTGCCAGTGGTCTCTCTTGTCCGTTTAGTTTGTTAATGTGTGAGTATTGCCAGCGGTCTCTCTTGTCCATTTAGTTTGTTAATGTGTGAGTATTGCCAGCGGTCTCTCTTGTCCATTTAGTTTGTTAATGTGTGAGTATTGCCAGCGGTCTCTCTTGTCCATTTAGTTTGTTAATGTGTGAGTATTGCCAGCGGTCTCTCTTGTCCATTTAGTTTGTTAATGTGTGAGTATTGCCAGCAGTGTCTCTTGTCCATTTAGTTTGTTAATGTGTGAGTATTGCCAGCAGTGTCTCTTGTCCATTTAGTTTGTTAATGTGTGAGTATTGCCAGCAGTGTCTCTTGTCCATTTAGTTTGTTAATGTGTGAGTATTGCCAGCAGTGTCTTTTGTCCATTTAGTTTGTTAATGTGTGAGTATTGCCAGCGGTCTCTCTTGTCCATTTAGTTTGTTAATGTGTGAGTATTGCCAGCAATGTCTCTTGTCTGTTTAGTTTGTTAATGTGTGAGTATTGCCAGCAGTCTCTCTTGTCCATTTAGTTTGTTAATGTGTGAGTTTTGCCAGCGGTGTCTCTTGTCCATTTAGTTTGTTAATGTGTGAGTTTTGCCAGCGGTGTCTCTTGTCCATTTAGTTTGTTAATGTGTGAGTTTTGCCAGCGGCGTCTCTTGTCCATTTAGTTTGTTAATGTGTGAGTATTGCCAGCAGTGTCTCTTGCCCATTTAGTTTGTTAATGTGTGAGTATTGCCAGCAGTGTCTCTTGTCCATTTAGTTTGTTAATGTGTGAGTATTGCCAGCGGTCTCTCTTGTCCATTTAGTTTGTTATTGTGTGAGTGTCTCTAGTCAATTTAGCTCACAAAAAATATTGCTTACCATATATTATGTTTTATTTAGAAGAATGCTGGCTACATATTTAAACTGTTTTATTAAGAAGAAGAATGCTAGGCCCATATTTATTTAAAAAGTTAGTTGAGTATATTTTAAAGGACATTGCAAAAACAACCTCAGCATTTTTGGCTTTTGTGGTTTTTTTTAAGGCATATTGTTACCTTCAGTTGAAAGAAAATATTTTGTTTTGAAGGAGATTCATAGACATGACCGTCTGGTTGGCAGGTTAACTAGCTACTATGGATCCTGAGCCTAGTAATGCTGGCTATACCCCAGCAAATGTGAGCAGCTTGTGTTTTACCAGGCCATCACGAGAAGCAAGGAACAGTAACTCCGTATGCTACCAGGCATGTTATAGAGTGTTGGGCTTGTGGTTGGTTACCTCATCCAGTGAGAAAATTAAAAAAGCAACAGCCACACAAATCATCAACCAGCCATGGCAATTCTAAAAGAGCAACAAGTAATACCCAGCCAGCCAAGATAGGGGAGGTTCTGAGGTTACAAAGATGTTAAGGAAATGGAGTAAATTGTAAGTGAAAGCAGAGGATAGGAGGATTTCGTGTGAGTTGGTTGGGGGCCTATGCTGCATTGGAGGATGAAAGGTAGAAGAAAAACGAAAACAAAGTGGAGATGTGATCAGCACATTTACAAGAGTAATATTGTGCTTTCTTTATGCAGCAGGGAGTGACAAGGCGATCTGGCCGATACTCGACGCTCAGAGGAAAGGCAAGACTGGCGTATAATCAGAATGCTACTGGCACCACGGGTGTTGGAACTCTGCGCTGGCTGCTGAAGATGAGGACAGTGCACTTATAGAAATGTGCTTAGTGTTGTGATGTCTGTTCTTGAATCAACTAAACTCAGCATAACTTAGCATCATGCTTCCTTTTCAGACTGGCAGAGGAATTGATGGGGATGGCTACGAGGCGGTACAGACAGGCTGTGGAAGAGAATAGCCTGGCTGAGGATCAGTTCATGTTCTTGTCGTACCTGTTGGGAAGTAAAGATGTCTCCCAGCGAGACATCATGCCTGTCATTTTGTCAGTGCTAACGGACACCTTAAGCACGGTCAGTTGTGATTTGTATCAGTCTCTTCAATTGTGATTTGTATCAGTCTCTCCCTGTCTAGCTTCTCTTTCTACATCTGTCAGTCTGCAAATATATTCTGTTTGTCTGTCTGCGCTTCATGTGGGTTCTGAGGCCCCATTGTGGGAAAAAGGGGGGGGGGGGCAAAGAATGGACACCCCCCACCCTCCACTTCCAAACAATTATGTCATAAAAGTCAACTAATTAGGGGTTTTCTTTTTAAGTCGGAGTGGATCTGCCTGAGAGGTGGAGAACCAACATCTGCATGCAAATAAACCAGATTTGTAAAGTGGAATAAAACCGAAATCCAGAAGTGGATAAATAACCAGAACTTTCTGCTTGAGTCAGTAAACACAAAGTAGAAGAAGAAGCAGAGTCTGTCAGTATCTGTCTGTTTTGTTTACCTGCATCTGCCTGTCTGCTGTCTGCAACTCTTTCTCTGCATCTACCAATCTGTTTGTCTGCCTGCTATATATATTAAAGATCTGTTTGGCTGCTGTCTGTGTGTGCCTTTTATCTCTCACTTTGTATCCCTCCACCCACCCCCCCACTGAATTTTTTTTTTCTTTTTGTAAATTTAAAAATAAAATTTAAAAAAATAACTTATTTTAAAAAATTTCTTTATCAATAAGTATCCCTTTATTCTTGAATTATCCCAGGTAATGAATATAACCATAAATGATGTTGAGTGAAGAATATAAACTGACGATAAAGTAAGAAATGCTAAATATAACACAAAATATGACTAGAAAGCTTAACAGAGGAAATGGAAAGGGACGCACACAAACATAACTGAACGTTTTGACCACACTCTGTTGTCTTGCCCGTTGAGTTTTCTAGTCACAGTTAATACTTGGTTGATAAAGATTTTGGTCGAAATGTTCGGTTGTGTTTGTGTGCGTCTTTTATATTCCCTCCGTTGAGTTTTCTAGTCATTTTTTAGTTGTATTTAACATTTCTTGCAATCAACTCAACTACAGTCATCCCTCATTACCTCATCACTGCAGTAACAACCATAAGTCATCTCCTTGTGAGATGCAATTTTTTGTTAATTTGAAGCCCTACCCTGGCTCTTGCCAGGAGCCGCAATATAGCCCGGCCGTAAATATGGCCTAACGCCTGTATGCGGTTTTTGGGACCTCTCCACGGTAATCCTCATCCACATGGTGGTACATTGTGTCATCGGATGTTTATCGCTTGTGTGATGTTCTAGTGGGGTAGAAAATCAGTCAGTCAAACCTCATCACCGATGATAAAGTAGTTTGTGAACTAAATCATAATCGAAGTAGTTCAGATTACTGATTTCTATCACTGATTTCATCTTTGGCAGACGTCACAGATCGCCTTGTTCAACCTCTACACACTGGCCTCCAATCCAGAAGCCCAAGAGAAGGCCCATAAAGAAGCCCTGCAGTTGCTGTCCCCATCCGGAGACCTTTCTGCCGAAGGCTTCAACAGTTGTACATACATCAAAGCTTGTATCAAGGAATCTTTCCGGCTGTTCCCTGTAGGCTTGGACGTGCCGAGACTGAGCCCCAGTAACATGGTCATTGGGGGCTATCAGATTCCTGAAGGGGTAGGCTTGCAATGTTTCAGTCAACTGTGTATTATGTTCTAGTGTTTCAGTCAACTGTGTATTATATTCTAGTGTTTCAGTCAACTGTGTATTATGTTCTAGTGTTTCAGTCAACTGTGTATTATATTCTTGTGTTTCGTCAACTGTGTATTATATTCTAGTGTTTCAGTCAACTGTGTATTATGTTCTAGTGTTTCAGTCAACTGTGTATTATATTCTTGTGTTTCGTCAACTGTGTATTATGTTCTAGTGTATTATATTCTTGTGTTTCAGTCAACTGTGTATTATGTTCTAGTGTTTCAGTCAACTGTGTATTATTTTCTAGTGTTTCAGTCAACTGTGTATTATGTTCTAGTGTTTCAGTCAACTGTGTATTATATTCTTGTGTTTCGTCAACTGTGTATTATATTCTAGTGTTTCAGTCAACTGTGTAATCTGGTAATCTGGTAATCTGGTAATCCTAGTTTCAGCATCATAGCAAACGGGTCACCCCATTGTTGCTCCGCTCCTGTGCCAACGAAAAACACTCGTAGCTCACAGTGTCACACCATGCATTCAACTCAGAAGCTGGGTGACGAAACCATATCCTTCCAGTCTACAAATGGAGCAAAAATGCAACGGCCACCGCCTGGCAGAACTGCCACGGCTAAAAAAAAAAAAAAAAAAAAAAAAAAAAAAAAAAAAAAAAAAAAAAAAAAAAAAAAAAAAAGTGGCCGTGCCTAGCGTCCACTGTGACTTGAAGCATTATGTGAGGGGTTAACAAATGGTCACCCCAGCAACAAATGGTCAACTGTGTATTATGTTCTAGTGTTTCAGTCAACTGTGTATTATATTCTAGTGTTTCAGTCAACTGTGTATTATGTTCTAGTGTTTCAGTCAACTGTGTATTATGTTATAGTGTTTCAGTCAACTGTGTATTATATTCTAGTGTTTCAGTCAACTGTGTATTATATTCTAGTGTTTCAGTCAACTGTGTATTATTTTCTAGTGTTTCAGTCAACTGTGTATTATGTTCTAGTGTTTCAGTCAACTGTGTATTATGTTCTAGTGTTTCAGTCAACTGTGTATTATATTCTAGTGTTTCAGTCAACTGTGTATTATATTCTAGTGTTTCAGTCAACTGTGTATTATATTCTAGTGTTTCAGTCAACTGTGTATTATGTTATAGTGTTTCAGTCAACTGTGTATTATATTCTAGTGTTTCAGTCAACTGTGTATTATATTCTAGTGTTTCAGTCAACTGTGTATTATGTTCTAGTGTTTCAGTCAACTGTGTATTATATTCTAGTGTTTCAGTCAACTGTGTATTATGTTCTAGTGTTTCAGTCAACTGTGTATTATATTCTAGTGTTTCAGTCAACTGTGTATTATATTCTTGTGTTTCAGTCAACTGTGTATTATATTCTAGTGTTTCAGTGAACTGTGTATTATATTCTTGTGTTTCAGTCAACTGTGTATTATGTTCTTGTGTTTCAGTCAACTGTGTTATTGTGTTCTTGTGTTTCAGTCAACTTTGTATTGTGTTCTTGTGTTTCAGTCAACTGTGTATTATATTCTTGTATTTCAGTCAACTGTGTTATTGTGTTCTTGTGTTTCAGTCAACTTTGTATTGTGTTCTTGTGTTTCTGTCAACTGTGTATTATGTTCTTATGTTTCACAACTGTATATTATGTTCTTTTGTTTCAGTCAACTGTGTATTGTGTTCTTGTGTTTCTTTCAACTGTGTATTATGTTCTTGTGTTTCACAACTGTATTATGCTCTTACTTTGTGTGATGCTGTTTTTGATAAAATGAAATAATAATTGTGGCGTAGAGGAGGGTTGTCCGCCCCTGCTGTTGGAGATTGCAGGTTTTGCAGATTCATGATCATCCTTGTCGGTCGGCAAGGCACTTGATGATGATGATAATTTTAATATCCGTCTACTTTATATGATAATTTTGATAACTATTTACTTATAGAGCAGCCACCATGTTGTAGCAGGTCGATGTTCTCCTGTGTATCTGAATGTTGTGGGTTTAAATCCACATCGAGGCAGATTTTTATTTGTCTTCAAAAAATTACCTTGGCTACCAGGTCGATCCAGCCTTAAATGGGTCCCAGGTAAAGTTCTGGGAAGTAAAGGCAGCTGACTGAAGATAACCACAGCGCCCACCCCATGCCAGTTGGTCTACAAAAAATATAGGACTGGCACTGTATGCTCAATATGCCTAAAGGTGTGAAAATAGTCCTTCACTTCACTTCTGTTTACTTTATAAAATATTTCAAAAACAAAACTTTCTGTGATTAGATTTGTATGTCTTCCCCACTTGATTTGAAACTGTTTTCTCATGACTTTGTTCCCTAAATAATAATGTTCATGTTTTATGTTTTTATGATTCCATGTTTTGTAGTAATGCACTTTGCAATGTTTAGTAAATTTGTTAGGCATTATATGGTGCATTATATTGTGTTTTCATTTGTAAAGTTGTGAATAGGAAACAAAATTTCAGAAAATCTTTCATCAGTGAAGATTCAAACCCAGGTCTGGTGAATGAGAGTCCAATATTCAAACCATTCAGCTTGACACTAATCTCCTTTTTTTTTTTTTAGCATCTTAATATTTTAATGTTATTGTGGCTGTTTGTACGAGATAGTAAAATTTTCTTAATCTGACCACAGACATTCCTGTGCTTGAACAACTACTGTTACTCGTTGGACCCTCAAGTCATACCTGACCTTGAAGTCTACTCTCCAGAGAGGTGGCTGCGAGAAGATGCTGTTAAAGAGAAGGTTCATCCTTATATGTTGACACCGTTTAGTCTCGGGCGGAGAATGTGTGCAGGTGAGGAGAAAATTAAGCATTAAAACTAATTCACATGATAGCTAAGGCGTCTGTTTGCCCCTTTGTTTTCTCACTTGTTAACTCAAGACTTAACCACGGTCTGCCCTGATAATTTACCAGCAGGATCAACATGTAGCAGGTCCTTTGCAGATCATCGCTCTCATCACAACCTGCCTGAAGGAAACTTGGTCTCTCACCAGCTCTCAAGCCTCCTGCACTTCCCTACCCAGGGAGTCACTTATATGTTTTACCCATCTTCATGATGATGGGTCCCTGTCCCTCATACCTGGCATCATGCTGTCTGCTATGATTCTTTTCTTACCATTTATTTGCATAAAATAGCATCAGAGGCCCAACGGGTGGTCAAGGGAGAGGTAAAATCTTTCGTACATTGTTCTTCTAGGTAGGACCCTATGAATGTATGATGCATTCCTTTGGACTCAAAGAATTAAAGCTGTTCCCAATGTCCTCATTCCATCTTTTTGGTAGTGTTCCCCTATCTCTGTATTTATTATATTTCTTCAGCATGGCTCTCTGTGGCAGGTGGCACCAGAATATTCTCGTCAGATGGCCAGACCATTTCATCGGTTGCTCTGTATTAAACTGTGTGACTGGTGTTGAGAAACAGAAGCTAACAGAATTTGGGTGCACAGAATTAGAGGTCCAGTTTACCCTGTGGGTTTCTGGGCCCACATTTTGGAGGGGGGGGGGGGGGGGGGTAAGAGCAGACCTGCTGCCTCCCAGTCCGCCTCCTCCCCTCCCCAACAAGGATGCTGCAACAAGTAACTAATTAGAGGGGTTTCTTTTGAAGTCTAAATGCATCCTAAAATAGATACTACGATATTGTCTTAGGAAATAAGACGGACAGCATGGTATTGACTGCATTACCCATTGAATCTTGACTTGTCTAAAGACGTGAGACAAGTTCTTTCCAGTTACCACGGAGCTTGATATGGTCAATATATTTACTAGCCAGTCTTTAAAAAGCAGGATAAGTCTTCTTGTTCTTCTTTTTCACATTCACTGACTGTAATCCTCAGTGGAAAGTTCTGATTGTTCGTCTGCTCCTGAACTTTATCCTGTTCTAGAACCTGAGGGTTGTGTGCACATCTGTTTTATAAATCTTACTTATTTGTGTACCTATTGTTTGTTCCTTGCCTCTCAGGCAGATGCCCTCCGACTTTGAAGGAAACCGTCCAGTTAGTCGACTCTTACCACATGCTTGTTGGGGAGTCAGCGGGTCTATTCTTGTTTTCCCAACAATGGAGCCCAGAACCCACATGGAGAGGACATCTTTTCTAAAACTGCCTTTTAAACAATGCAGAATATCTGATGTCTTGAGATACTTTCCTTAAATGTTAGAGACTAAATTAAAAAGAAAAATGATAGCAGACCCTGTAGCGATCGGACATATGATGCTAGAGCCATATTTTTATAGACCAATCAGCACTCAGTAAGTTATGTGGCTTGCATCAGGCAGGCGGCCTTTACTTCACAGGGCTACCTGGTGCCATTGTAGGCTGCGTTGACCTGGGAGTCACGGTCATTTTTGAAAGAAAAAACTCAAGATCTTTGGGCTATAACCACTGTTACAATATAGAGATGTGTGCAAGCAAGACATAAATGATACAGGTATTGAGGTGGATTCGGGGGAACAAGATGCCATGGACCATTTTGCACAAGGAGAGAAAATAAGGAAAGGAATAAGGATAAAAAATAAAAGAATTACAGACAGGTCAAGAGATGAGCATCTAAGATGGCAACAATGGTTTTGAAATCTCACGCTCTTATTGTGGAAGACTTGTCTTAATGTGGGTGGGTCTTGTCAGTCACACTCACCATGGCCATGGGCTGTGATTTTCAAGCATCCTTATATCAGAGTATAGGTCTTGTCAGTCACACTCACCATGGCCATGGGCTGTGATTTTCATGCATCCCTATATCATCTTCTTCTTCTTCGCCTTCACCAGCTGTACACTCTGGCGTAAAGTTCTGGTTGTTCGTCCACTTCTGGACTGCAGTCCTGCTCCAGAACCTGAGTGTTGCGTGTGCATCAGTTTTACAGATCTGATTCAATTGAATGTAGACTGCTGGTTCCTTGCCTCTCAGGCAGATGCACTCCGACTTCAAAGGAAGCTCCCCAGTTAGTCGACTCTTACGACATGCTTTTGGGGAGGCAGTGGGTCTATTCTTGTTTTCCCCACAATAGGGCCCCGGAACCCACACGGGGGATCCCTATATTAGAGTCTAGGTCTTGTCAGTCACACTCACCATGGCCACGGGCTGTGATTTTCATGCCTCCCTATATCAGAGTATAGGTCTTGTCAGTCACACTCACCATGGGCTGTGATTTTCATGCATCCCTATATCAGAGTATAGGTCTTGTCAGTCACACTCACCATGGCCATGGGTTGTGATTTTCATGGCTCCCTATATCAGAGTATAGGTCTTGTCAGTCACACTCACCATGGCCATGGGCTGTGATTTTCAAGCATCCCTATATCAGAGTATAGGTCTTGTCAGTCACACTCACTATGGCCATGGGCTGTGATTTTCATGCATCCCTATATCAGAGTATAGGTCTTGTCAGTCACACTCACCATGGGCTGTGATTTTCATGCATCCCTATATCAGAGTATAGGTCTTGTCAGTCACACTCACCATGGCCATGGGCTGTGATTTTCATGGCTCCCTATATCAGAGTATAGGTCTTGTCAGTCACACTCACCATGGCCATGGGTTGCGATTTTCATGCATCCCTATATCAGAGTATAACTCTGTCATCTGAAAAGGTGCTCACAACAGTAACAATTGATACAATAGTGCTGGTCTAACATAAATGTAATCATTTTGTTGTAATCATTTCAGGGCGCCGATTTGCGGAACAGGAACTAGTCCTGCTTTTATGCAAGATTCTCAAGCGGTACAGACTAGAATGGCATCATGGGAAGCTTCATCAGCATTTTCGTCTGCTGTGTATTCCCGATCAGGAAGTGAAGGTCAAGTTCATCCCAAGATAGAATTCTGGTCCATCCATTTTGTTTTGGGTTCTGTATTTTGTTGAATGTCCACAGTCCGGCCCTTTGTCTTCAGGTGGAGTGTTTTGCAGTGTTTATTTTCAAGTTTAAAATATATCCCCTGTTTATAGCTAGATTAAAAAAATTTTATTACCAGGTTTAAACTACCTTATTAAGTGTTACAAAATATGAGACAAGAATTGGCAGGGGGTTGAGACACAACGTTTAGGTGAATCGTGTAGGGAATGTATCCCTGCAAAGGAAATTTTGTTAGAAAGTCTTGTTTATTTTTCTTCTTCTTTTGTGAGTATCTGCATTGTACCGCTGGTCACTATCTTTTGGTTGGTAGCAGAACCAGGGTGTGCTCAGTTGCTTGGTAGGCTGTGGTGATATGAAGTCTAAGGTTGTCACTGACTTCTTCGATTCACTGTCTTCTATGTAGAATATCTATCTGTTAGTGACTTCAGAATGTCATGTGTCTAAGCCAGAACAATTGTGTTGGTGCAGATGATGTCAGGCTAGTCTATGGTTTGAGCCCTTTCCCTGTTTGTTTCGTGTACCTTTTTAATCGTTATCTGAATGCCGGGTTTGATCTCAGCTGCGGACGGTCTGTCTTGCGTTGGTTTCAACAGCAGTACCAAGAGCTGACTGTTCAGAAGCAATGGCAAACTACTTAACGTAAAATTTGCTAGAAAAAAAATCACAACAGCCAAAAAAGATGCTGGGGTTGGTTCTGCAATTTTCTGTAAAGGATACACAACTACATTAAAAAAAAATAATTTTTTATTCAACTTTATAAATATGAAATTAAATATTGTCCAGTATCATACTTATTTATTGAGCCGTGGTAATGCAGTGGTTAGAATACAGGTAAAATGTTTGAACCCCCATCAGCTTGGGGATTTTAACAAACTGACCCGGCTTTCAGGTCAACCCAGTATGACATGAGTATCCATAGGTGTTCTGGATATTAACAGTAACATTTCTCAAGTGCTGATTTGTCCAAACACACGGGCTAGCCCTATTTTCAAAGACCTGTGCCACAAGGGCATTCAACATGGCCTCTACATGCTGTTTAGAGAAGTGACCATTCCGAGAATCAAACCTTTGACCTCTAAGTGACGATGGCACCTTGCTGCAGGGCAATTGTACTAAGATACATGACTGGCAAGACACCTCTAACATAACGATGTCTTCATTAGCCATGTTTATTGTCAAGCTTTAACCCACCACCATGGAATATGGACAGAATTCGTTACATAGGTTACAATAACAGTTATAAATGCATGTGTGTAATAAATGCATATTCGTCATTGTTGTATTTGAAAACCCACCGATGAATTTTAACTGCTGTCTAACATTGTTGAAAATCTTGTTCTAGCTTATATATGTTGTGATCTACATACATTGTAAATGAGAAAACCTACAGTTTATGTTTTATATTTTATACAAAGTGTTCCATTTTATAATGAACAATTACCACTGGTTTTGGAATGTTCCAAGCTGAATTTAGAATGTTCCATTGCTGGGGATGGAATAAAAGTGTTTGATATAAAATATTTATTCTGTGATTTATTCTATAAAGGGCTTTGAATGAAAACCTTAATAATTTGAAAGAGATTACAATAACCATGCTATTCTATTGTAACTTGTCAGTATTGTTGTTAAGGATGTCAAGAGTATTAAGCAGTGACATGGTTGTGCAGATGAACATGGTGATATCATCATAACAGTTTTAAGGTGGCTGCCCCACTTTTGACATGTACCAAAGAGTAACAGCATTCTGTTTTCCATTTTTTAATTAGTGAAGGGAGTGAAACCTGTAAAAATTCACCGACGAATGAAGGTCCAGTTTGGTGGGACAAACATCACTGATCATGATGCTTCAGTTCACACTGTGATTTGTTATTTTAATTAAGTTGGCATTGCTTGTTTTATTTGTTGCCCCTCATTTGAACTTTCCACACAATTGTTCTGTCTTCCTCTGACTTTCTTGCCTAGTATTCCCACCATATAAAGCTGTCTATCCCTTCTCGTCTATTGATATTTCTCATGAATTTCATTGTCTTTTACTTATAATGTTGATGAACAATCTAGTGACACTTACAGCTCTCGAAACCCCAGCCCTTGTTATCTTCTGCTTCCACATTCTCACCAGTCTTCTCCAATGTTGAATTAGGAATTGACATCACAGCGCTCAGAACACTCCCATAAGTGCTCAGTCCCCATCTTCAGCAGCAAGTGGAGTTACAGATCCGATGGTACCAGTAACCATCTGACTGTATATCCATCTCATTCTTCCCCTAAGTATTAAGTGTCAGCAAGATCCCCTGGTAACTGCTCGCAGCGCCATTCTCCTTAGACCGTAATGATCTATCTGCACCTCCGCACTGTTTACTTGCAGTCTTCTCAAAAACGACATCTCTAGTTTACCCAGTTTCATTGCTCATTATTTGTTTCCATGCAAAACAACAGGCCATACGGCTATCCTGCGAATAACGGCCACATATTATGGCGGCCAAAAACAGGGCCTCAGTCACATGTAAATTGCGGACTTACTGCGATTATACCGCTACCGCCGAGAGTATCTCCAGCGCCGCGCATAGCAGGGCTAAACTAGATTGCTGGGACTTACAAGCAAAGCTGCATTAGCCGCGGAAGCTGCTGCTCGTGAGTCCCAGCCATCTAGTTAAGCCCCGCTATGCGCAGTGAGGGAGATACTCTCGGTTGTGGCGGTATAGTCGCCGGTCTGCAATTTAAGTCGCCGAAAGTCTGCAATTTACATGTGACTGAGGCCCTGTCAGGGTGTGTTTTTGGCTGCATAATATGTGGCCGTTATTTGGTAGATAGCTGGCCACACATAACTTGTTGAATAAAAATTTTTTTTGTTTGAATTATAGTTTGACAAAAGCATTTATAAACTAAACTACAGCTGGTTGTTAATTAAAAAACAACTGTTATATTGATGAGCACATCAAATCGTCTTGTAAACACATCAAGTCAGTGTGTGATTATACACCATGTTTATTTCTGTTGTATGCCAGATTTTTTTCCATTCGGCTGTTGAATCTATTACAGTAATCAGTAATTATGTACTTATTTCATCATTATCATTATCGTGATGTGCCATCTTTACAATGAAGGTTGGCTGTAATGGATCTCAAACCAGCTTCCTCCAGTCCATCTTTTGATACAAGGGTTTTAACTCATAAGTGCTTCGTTCTACTTCTAATTCAAACCTGAGTCTGAAGAATCTTAGTGCAGTGCACGAACTCCGTAGCACTGGCGAGGATCCTGAACTATTTTGGGTAGATTTTGCCTGGGCAGCACTGATAGGCTACTTTTTTAAATTTCCAACTGCCAAGGGATTTTTTACAATACCTTCAGGTGTCTGATCTTACTACCCAGAAACCAGGAGAAATTACTAGTAGTCCACATGAAAAAATCCCAGCCTTCACTGGGGCTTGAACTCGGGACCTCCAGCACTCGAGGCCGACACCATGCCTCGAGACCACTCAGCCCCCACCCCCCCCCCCCCCCCCCCCCCCCCCCCCCCCCCCCCCCCCCCCCCCCCCCCCCAGTCCATCTTTCCATGTTGTCCACCCACATGAAACACTGTCTTCCTGTTGCATGCTTGCCCTTCACTTTTTTCTATAACACATCCATTAACAAGTTACTGTCTCTCTGGCTGAGGTACCTCCAGTTATCTGAACTTTGCTTTTATTCACTAGTGTATCTTGATCCCAGTTTTTGATATACTTTTTCTGTTTTCATGGCTTATTTTCTTTCTAATCTCCAATATAACCACTTTTTTATTTTAATTTTTATTTTACTTTCGAATTGTTTATTTTTGTATGTTTCTGCACCATACAGTAATGTAGAGTCAGGCTCCTGTAGGTGTAAAGTCAGTGTTCTGTCAGTATAGAGTCAATTGTGTAATGTACAGAATAGACAGCCCTCACAAAGGCTGATTGTTGTATTGTTTTGTGGTTTTTACAGCCAGAGAGTGATATCTGTACTTTTTAGCAAACACATCTGATTTCAGCCAACCCTTAGTTAGTCGCCTCTTACAGCTTGCTTATTAAAGAGCATTGGTTCTATTCTTTGCTCTGTAAATCAAAGCCCCATTGGGAACTGTTTTATTTCGATTTCTAGCCATTGACACAGTAACAAGTCATTGTCAGCGACATTACAGATCCGTGCCTGTGCCACTGACAGCATGAGAGGAATACATTTTGACAGTAGATTGTGGTATATTAGCATTCATAATTATTGCTATCATGTAATTTTTTTACTTTCTACTTTGAGAAATTATTTATTAATTATTCACATAATTCTTCAATGTTCTATGTATGTACATTACTGGTGCTTCTACTTGTGATTTATGTCTGTTGTACTTACATCATTAAACCAGTTTTCTTGGTGAATTCAGCCGTTCACTAGAGTTTCTGTTTAGTTCCAAACGACTTTGAGTTGTGTTGTTTAGCCATTATAATTAGTTGACCATGCCAAAGTCACCCAAGTGCTTAATTCTTATTTCAAGAAAAGCGCAACCGAACATCGAGATCTCTCTAAAAAATTATTTTTCTTGATCTTCTCTTTCTTCCATGACCCCATCAAAGTGTTCAGGAGGGATGTCAAGATCTTCTGTGTGATCCCTCTTAAGCATTGTCTAAGCTGATCTTTTTTCCTTTAACTCTTTTAGTAAGAAGTCATAAAATCTGTGCATCTTGCGTTCATTGGGCTTCTAGGTAGGAACCTATGAATGTATGATGCATTCTTTGGGAGTCAAAGAGTTAAAGCTGCTCTCAATGCCCTCATTCCATCTTTTTGGTAGTCTTCCCCTGTCTCTGTATTTATTATATTTCTTCAGCATGGCTTTCTGTGGCAGGTGGCACCAGGGTTTTCTCATCAGATGGCCAAACCATTTCTTCTGTTGCTTCATATTAAACTGTGTGACTTGTGTTGAGAAACAGAAGCTAACAGAATTTGGGTGCACAGGA